GGAAATTTGATTGGTGCTTGTTTCGCTCTTAGCTCCCCGATAGGTTCATGAAACATGCATGAAATTTTGAAAAGCCTGTACAGTTGTAGCTCTTATACAAACTAAAGAGGATTTAATAGCCTCTTTGCTTTCGACAACGCTTAAATTTCAGATTTTATCAAGCTTATTTTTCAGTCGCAGCATGATTTTGATTAGTCAAACCAGGTCTGCATGAAACTTTGTTGTCAACAAATTGCACAAAAGCATGACGTTCTGTATTCACCTGCATGCTAGCGGGGAGCAAGCACTCCAGAGAAGTAAATCTAATCCCCCCGCTCTAGCTCATGCCCCCACGTTCCATCACTGCCACGTCCCCCGTCCGCTCACCACCTAAAACCCCACCTCACCCGACCACCCCGGCCTCCCCCTTTCACCACCTAATCCAGCACCGTCCACTCTGATGATTGGCATCACATCAACATTCTCTCTTTCTCTGTCTTTTTTTCTGTCTCTTTCTTTTCATCTCTGTCTCTCCACTCCTTCATCCCTCCACCGAGCAGGCAGTATTAAATCCACTCGCCGTTCCTCCTATGTTCTAGCCATCACCACCGAGAGGTCCAAGTCCTGTGATGAGGGGCTCAACACGTTCAGAGAAGAAGGCCGGGGCTTGTGAGTACCGCGGAGCCAAGACCGATCTCTCAATCTTTCTCTGTGCTCGGAGATATCGTGACACTGAGCTCTCGTCTTTTGTTTCTTTTGCAGAAGGCTGCCAAAGAGAGTAAAGAGTTTCTTCACAGATGGGGTTAGTTCTGCACCTTTTGACAAATAATGCAAAGGGCCTGCAAATTCTGATTTGATTATTTTGCGGTGTTATTGTCTCCTAATCCTAATAATCAAACAAAGTTAAACTTCAGCTGCAAAAGCATCTAATAAAATAGATCTGTATGAATACTCCTTGATTTCTTTATGGAGTTTGGAAACTTACCTTTTTACCCGAGGAACAAGATAAAGACCATTGATTTTTGTCCCCTCTCATCTTGGATATAAAGAGTCAGAACTGTAAAACTGCCCTCATTCCTGATTCAGACTGAATTAGGAAACCACAGAACATTTTAGACGATGCATGTTTGCGTTTCCTGTCGTCTTTGTGTGTGCGACAGGAAATTGTGCAATGTCTTGTATCAGTCTTCAGGTCAACATTCAGTAAAAATGTTCAGAAAGGTCAAACAGTGTCCGCCTGAAATGGCAAAGCATCTGAAACAAAATTGTACCTTGCTGACAGAAAAAATAGTATATCCCCGTTGTGGTTATCTTATGTTTCATTACCTCTAAGTTTCAGTCGCTCAGGCAGATGCTCTCAATGCTTTCCTGTCTGTGATTCAGTCTCTGGACAACTTCGGGACAGCGGAAGAGGTTCGCTCCAAACGCCACTCCACCTCAGAGCTGGGAAACATCACTTTCAGCGACGTACGACGAGAAGGATGGCTGCACTTCAAACAAATCCTCACAGAGAAGGGCAAGGTGTGCCCACCAGGCTTTCAGTAGAGGGGGAGAAGAAGAAGGGGAAGCGCATGTGGGAATGACCGACATCCCGTGTCCTCTTTGCTTCACAGAAGGTGGGCAGCGGCATGCGCCCGTGGAAGCGGGTCTTTTCGGTTCTCCGCTCCCACTCGCTTTTCCTCTACAAAGACAAGAGGGAGGCGGTGCTCCACGGAGCGGCTATCGCGGACGCCGAAGAGGAGCAGCCGATCAACATCCGGGGCTGCCTGGTGGACATCGCGTACAGCGAGACCAAGCGGAAGCACGCCCTGCGACTGACCACGCAGGACTTCTGCGAGTACCTTCTGCAGGCAGAGGACCGGGAGGACATGCTGGACTGGATAAAGGTCATCAGGGAGAGCAGCAAGACAGACAACGAGGTCAGGGGACACGGTGTTGGGTTTTTCTCAATCTGATTGGTACCTTTTCTGTAACTCAGAGCCATAATGCGTGTTTATTTGCTGCAGGAGCTTGGCATCTCCAGACAGGCCCTCATCAGTAAAAAGCTCAATGACTACAGGAAACAAAGGTGAGTCACCTGTAAACCTGATTTTAGATTCTCTGACTGTAGAAAGAAGACAAAAAGCTGGACTTGGGCTCATTGTTTTGTCTCCCTCTACAGTCCAACAGGCGGCAAACCCGACTCGTCTCCGCGGATGCCCCGCATGAAACCTCCCTTCCTGCTCAATAAGACGGAGAACGCGGCCGGAGCCCCACGCTCCCCGAAACCAGACGGCAAAGGTCAGTAAAGGGGGACCAGTCATGTCGCTGAGGGTGAGCTGTATATGTAGGATTTATTTTCTGTTCAAACTTATCGTTGAAGCCAAACATGGAAACTACCAAAAATCAACTCGATCCCAAAAACCTTGTTGGATCCTCCGTTATTTGCACTACAGATACATAAACAAGTGAGACTTGTTTTATGATATGTACCTGGTGAAATGGACAGTAAATACATATTAAATATGTAAAAGCAGCATGTTGAAAGAAAAAGCACATTTATAATGACAGCTAACTAATGTATATATCAATAAACTAAGACAGAAAACTGTCCAAATCTCACCAAACTGTCAGTAATTGGATAATACCTGAATAATGAAAATATCTTTTAAATCTGAACGTTTTCTTTCCAAGCTGTTATGATATTAACAGGTAAGACAATCTGAGGAGGAGAAGTTAGCTTTGTATCTGTTGTCCTCAGATGAGAGCAGCCCTCCGAAATCTCCTTGGGGAATAAACATCATGAAGAAGACAAAGAAGTCTGGGCCCAAAGCGTTTGGAGTGAGGCTGGAGGAATGTCAGCCTGGTGCAAATAACAAGGTTAGCCTCAGCCAGCTCCCTCTGAATGCAGCTTTCTCGTCCTCCCGGCTGTAATAACCCCTCTGTGCCTGCCTCGCATCCCAGTTCATTCCGCTGATTGTTGAAATCTGCTGTGGCCTGGTGGAGGAGATGGGCCTGGAATACACCGGCATCTACAGAGTCCCAGGAAATAACGCCATGGTGTCGCTGCTTCAGGACCAGCTCAACAAGGGATCGGACATCATCCCCACAGAGGAGGTGAAACAATACGAACACACGTGAATAGAAAAAAAGAGCAGTTATCTGCCTGTTTATATAAACTCTATTGTTAGGCCGAGAAGATTGGATGTTGACCTCTGACCCTGTGTGTTCTGTTATCAACAGAAATGGCAGGACCTCAACGTTGTCAGCAGTCTGCTCAAATCTTTCTTCAGGAAGCTTCCAGAGCCCCTGTTCACCAATGGTCAGTTCAGATGTTCCAGGAAGCTACCAGGCCTATCATCTGGTCAAATTAAATCACTCCTGCAGCAGGGATTTGAACCTTTTCTCATTTCTGAACAGACAAGTATAACGATTTCATTGATGCCAATCGCATGGATAACCCATCTGACAGACTAAAGACCATGAAGAAACTGGTACGACTTGATGAATGAGTGGGAACAGGACTGTTTCCTTGCAGTATTTAGTCAAAGTGTGTGCAGTGTCCCGAAAGGTTAAACAAGTTTTGTTTCTTTTCGGTCACAGATCCGAGACCTCCCGGACCATTACTATCACACTCTGAAGTTCCTCGTTACTCACCTGCAGACGGTGGCTGACCACGCGGACAAAAACAAGGTGTGAGGAAAAAGCTGTTTGTAGATCTAATTTAGGAGTGATCGCCGCCATCCGTTCTCATGCCCTTTGCTCTTGTCTGGTGTGTTTAGATGGAGCCTCGTAACTTGGCTCTGGTGTTTGGGCCGACGCTTGTCCGGACGTCTGAGGACAACATGAAAGACATGGTCACCCACATGCCTGACCGCTACAAGATAGTAGAGACTCTCATCCAACACGTGAGGGAGAAAATTCAGTCGTGCATCTACAGTACAAACATTCAAGAAGATTGAATTCTGAATATTTCTCTCTGTTGTTGTAGTGCACCTGGTTTTTCACAGAAGAACTTGACAAGGATGAGAAGGTATGTTTTAAACCTGAGTAACAGAATACGGATGCTAACAAATACTAAAAAGCCAATCCTTCACAAACACAGCTGTGATAGAAACTGTTTAATTAGCTTTTGGAAAGGGAAAAAACTACTGAAAATTGCCAGTGGAGAGGACCAATCCCATGGGTTCAAATGGATAGTTTCATTTGATCAAACCTGCAGAAATGCCAGAAAAAAATGACAAAAAAGCATTTTGATGTTATCATCAGGATGACAATGTGGTGTGATCTTTTGTTAGCTGCATTTGATGTCTTTAGCACTTTAATAAAGTGTAATAACTACTTTGCTATTCATGTCAACTAACTTTTCACCAGTTTTCATCTGACTTTTTCCAGTTTGTATAGGAGAAAAGCTTTTTAACCCATCTTCAGTGTGTGGTATCCACACATGACATAGCGTATTGATAGTGTTTATATCACCGCATTCGTTTTCTTCTACAGTTGCTCGTGTTCTTGTGGGTCTCTTATCTCATTTTGCTGGTTTGACATTCAACCCTAACATTCATGGCGTTTCACAAACTGCACACAGGCTCCGTGGCACAGGTGTAACGCTCACTTCCAAACCACATCTTTTTCATTTTATCTCCTGGCTCCTGCAGCTTTGGTTAAAGTCGTTAGCACAAAGGTTTGCCTGCTTTTTACAGCCTCGTGTTAATGATTACTAAAGGTGCTCAATAGAGACATAAAAAATACAACTGCTGGCATTTTATTGACCTTATCTCGGTTATTGCTGAAATACTTTTACAGCATCTTTAGTTCTTTTATAGTCTGGCAAAAACAAAAAATTGAGAATTGCATCACCCAAATGGCTGATTAGAAGATATAAACCACATTCCCAGTTTGGCTTTTGTCATTGTTATGCTCCATGTAATGAAGAGGGGAATTAAACTAAAGTTCTCCCATTTACAGATGAGATAAAGTCTCCGTGTGCCACAGCCTCCGATGCTGATGTCTCTGTGTTTGTCTCATTAGACGCCGGTGGACACAGAGGATGTGCAGCCCGCCCCGAACATCAACCACCTTCTGTCCAACATCGACAGGACCGTTCTGCTCCGGGAGGCTTCAGGTGAGCGCCCCCCCCAGCAGCTCTCTGCCTTTCACTTGTCATGTTGACCAGGGTCATTTGAATCTGAACTCCAATTTAGTGCTGCTCTCCATTTAAAGCTGGAAGTCGGAAATCCCCTCCTCTGTTCCATCTACTGATTTTTTTTATTGATGTAAAAAGACTTATTCTTTTTGCAATATATCATATTCAATCTTTATGTGTGAATTCAAGATGTTGAAGTTTAGATTTTTTTTTAAACATGTACAAAGCTAAGCACTTATGTGTTCATCTTGAGGAAACTCAATGGTTGATAATTTGCAGCGCTCCTTGGAAGTTTGTCCCAGGAAATACCCAGAATTCCCACTTTCCAACAGAACTGGAATGCAGCATGAGAGCAGAGGCCTCACATCCGTTAGCATTTGAAGTGTTTCTGTGTTTGACAGTGTGCCTATTCTTCTCTCCTTTCTGCTGACCTCTTTTTTTATTCTCCCACGTTGCTTATCTTTCACTTTCTCTGTGCATTTCTGCGTTTCCCTCTCTTAGCTGAGCCTGTGGAGCAGCCTCTGCGGTAGGATGGGAACTCCCCTGGCAATATGTGTGTGTTTGTGCGCATCGTACTGTGAACGTGAAATAATGGCTGCGTGAGAGGGTGTGTTATTGGTTGGTGATGGCTTATGTCTTCATGGTCTCCATTATCCTCCTGACGGCGTCAGACTGAATTCTCTCTACAAACGTGTCACTCCTGTGTCTTCCCAGTCTGACTAATAAGTTAATGGGTGACTGGAGGCCTATTCAAGCTGGTGTGTCTGACACTGGGAGTGTAAACTGTCACTGAGAGACAACACTGGCTGTGTGTGTGAAGCCCTTTGCTCCACTCATCCTGTGGGCCGTTTTGATTGGTGCAGCCCAATCGTCAGGCTCCTAACCCGACCTCTGGCTCTAATGGGACTCTAGGTGGTGCTGTTTCTGAGGTGCCATTTCAAAGCATTTTGGCCGTGAGTTATTCAAAGAAACATTATTTTGTGTAGGACATCCAGATAGCAGCGCTAGTCCAAACTTTCTTCCCTAAAATCTGGTTTTATCACAAAGAAGCTGTCTCCTAAATACTGAACCAAGCTGCACACCACAACAGGAAAAGCTTTTTTCATTTTCTAATGTTCCATTTCCTAGTGTAGGCTTGCGCTATAGTTCTCCAGACTTCATAAAGGTATTCATGTTTTTCACGGATATTGGCCTTTTAAATCCTGTCCTTGTATCTGAACAATTTTAAAATAGAACATTTTAGTTTTGATAACCTGTGATTCATACAAATTCAATGATGGAAACTGATTGTGGATCTGAATCAGTATTGAATCAACACATAAAAGATAACCATTTATAAGAGACCTCTCGAGCTTTTTTGAGGCACAACAGTTTCTTTTGTGTCATTTCTGAAAAACGACAAAGGCCGAGGAGACAGGTTGTTTGTACAGTTTTTCATCAAAGCCGTATGACAAGGCTGTCAAGCATTGATTCTAAAGGAGAGGAAAGGGGGAGAACGGCCTGAGCCAAATAACACAAGAAGTGGTCTGAAAATCATTGGCAACAGGTCTGGTGGAGGAATAAACCCTCCCCTGAGCTGTTTTCCTGGCAATAGATGTCTCAAGACTTTTGCGTAAGACTGTAAGCTAATTTAGTGTCTGATGAAATGTTTTCTTGTAGTTTTTGGTGCTTTTTTACATGCATCACAGCTGACTGGTGGCTGGTTCTCAGGCCACTCACTGAGGAGGCTTTGTCCCTCCAAACTGCTTTTACAGGAAATACATAGAAGCTCCTCCTTAGATATTCCATGACTTTAAATTGATTATATTCTCTGTAAATTACACAAGTCTTTTTACCATGTGTATTTTCTTTATATAAAGGATTTACAAGCATAAAAGAAGACATAGCTCTGAATCTCACTAAAATACCTTGTTGTAGCCAAAGCTTTTCTTCTTTAATGATATAACCCTGCAGTAAAGTCACTTATCTGCCCATCGACTCTTAATGGACTATCTGATTATTGGTACTCAAGAAACAGCTCCACCTATAACCTACAGGTTTCTCAGGATATTAGGGCATTCTTGATCGGTGTATGACGGATAAACCCAGAGCTTTCCTCCTGCATCAGTGTTTGCATTTCTGAGGGAATGCCTTTTTTTTCCTGATTATTTTCTGTTTCATTCACTGACTGATGTCATCGTTGTTTCTGGCGATGTCATTGGTGTGTGCTGTGGTGTCCTAATGCAGTTTTGCCCCCCCCCACCCCCCCAAAAAAAAACAAATGCCGCTTACCCAATCATCATATTCCCCTCCACATACTGCGGTGTGTCAATCTGTGTGTTTGCTCTGGTGTCTGAAATGGTGAGAGAACACAGAGGAAGATTAGAATCTTTTTTTTTTAAATCTCTCATAGAGGAAAAACTTTCATGTTTGACTCAATCCTCAAGTGACATTACAGCTGGACTTTACCTCCTAAACAGCTGATGGAAAACAAATCAACATCAGACATGAAAGTTTACACCGTAATAAACCATAAAGGGGGAGCAGATTTCTGTTTTCCTAAGAGGACTTTTCCTTGGATAAAAGCTGCCTCTGTGTCCTCCGCCATGACTTTTCTGGCTTTTTATGCTCAACTCTTCTGACCTGGTGATCTATTTTTTTCTTTTTCTGCAGACTCAACCAACAGTGACTCGGCTAGATCAAAGGTAACATCTCTCAAACACACATTTGTACACGAATTAGAAGCAGTTGAACATATTAGGGGGAAAAACATACAAACATGGCATTGGTTCAGTGATGTATCCTCCTCCTTCAGGGGTCATGGGGATCAAAAAAGGACCTCACAGCGAAGGACTTCCTGACTCTGTCCATCATGTCTGCCGTCACCGGCCGCAAACGCAGAAAGCGCCGCAATGGCCGCCGCGTGGGCAGCAGCACTGACGACGACTCTGAGCACGAGCAGGTCAAAGCTGGGCACGTAAGGACAGAGGAGGCCGAGGAGGAAGAGGAGGAGGAGGAGGAGTCGCCCGTAGGGGACACCGCTCCTCGAGCAGAGGAAGAGGAGGATGATGACGACGAGGAAGTTGAAGAAAGTGGCGATAAAGAGGAGGTCGGAAAAGAGGTGGCGGCGGTCGCGCCCGGCCGCAAAGAGGAAGAGGAGGCGGGAGGAAGGCCGGCGGCCATGTTGTTGCAGGAGGAGGAGGCGCAGGCGGGGGTGAAGGGGCCGCCGTGGCGGGCCCCGGAGGACGCCCGCTCCATCGTGTCCGGCTACTCCACCCTCTCCACCTTGGGGCGGAGCCTGGGCTCGGAGGGGCGGGGCGACGACGCCGACGACGAGCACAGCGAGCTGGTGAGCGAGACGGACAACGAGAGCGGCTTCGCCTCCCGCTCCCTCACGCAGGAGAGGCCCGACAAACCCCCCAAGACGCCCGCCGGCGTCCAGCCGCCCGCCGGCGCGGCGGCGCCGCCCGCCGAGGCCCAGCCGCCCGCGCCCCCGCGCAGCTTCCTCTACTCGCACGGCAAAGCCCCCGCCCTCTCGCCCACGAACCTTCTGGCCCCGCCCACTCCCCTCACGCCGGACTCCGCGGAGAAGAGCGACGGCAGGGCGTGCTCGGCCACGCCCTCGTCCTCCTCCCTGTCCTCCTCCTCCACCGCCCACAGACTGCACTCGCGGCCTTCCTTCAACTCCCACAAGCTGATCCAGTGCGACACGCTGGCCCGCAAGAAGCTGAAGTCCGACAAGGCCAAGGGCCGCTCGCTGGACCTGTTCGAGGGCGAGGGGGTCGGCCCGGGCCCCGAGGCTCCGTCCGAACCCGGGGGGGACGCCTCCAGAGCCCGCCCCTCCTCGGGCAGCAGCCAGGAGAGCCTGCGGCCGGCGTCCCGGCCCAAAGCGGCGGCGCCACCCCCCAGCGAGGCCGCCTCCTTCACCCCGGGCGGCCCCCGGGGTGAAGGCGGCGGGCGGTCTCTGGCCGAGCAGGTCCGAGCCCGGCTGCTGGGCTCGGCCGACGACCTGCGCAGCGTGGGCCTGCGGAAGCCGCTGTCCCCCGAGACGCGCAGGAAGAGACGGGCGTGGCGCCGCCACACCGTGGTGGCCTCCCCGACCGAGGCGTCCGACAAGAGGCCCCAGATGAGCGTCAGCGACTTCCCCCTGTCCCCCATCAATCAAAACCTGGTCAAGACGCAAGGACTCCCCCGAAGCGCTGACCACCTGGACCAAGGAAACATTACACGCCAAGCCCCAGCCTCCAGATTCCACCAGTATCTGTGAGCTGCCAGAGGCTGCTGACCACCCCCACTCCCCCAACCCCCCCGAGGGTCGGAGAACTGGCAGGAAGGCTGTTGTTCACGACCAGGTGCTTCTCAGACCACAGGTCAAACACAGCCCACCGTTTTCCTCCCGACAAGCTCCGTTTGCATGGCGAGGGGCATTCCAGTGTTGCCAAAGCTTTTGTTTTCTTTTTTTCTTACGTGTGTGTTTTCTAGAAATAAAAGAGAAACAGGAAAGAGACACGAACAGACCTCATGGCCGTCTCCGTTACAGCCAAGAATTTGCATTCAAGTGAAAACGAAACGACGAAACGGGCTCCCTTCCTGTCTCCTCCTCCAAACCGATTGGTGACTTCAATTCAGTGGGTTCATCCATTCGAATAACCAAATGCAGCCTCACTCGGGTTTTTTGAGAGAATGGTGCTTCTTGTCAAAGTGGTGTTTATTGGTAACTGTTACACAATTTAAGAAAGTATCGCAAACAATTGGAATAAAAAAGCAGACACAGTTTTTAAAACGTAACTCTTCTTGAAACCATGTCAGGAAGAAAACTTTTTGTTTTTACGTCAGTCTTCCTGAACCCCTGTTCATCCTCTAGCAGTGGATGTATCGGCCAACAAACACGTGATAAACAGTCATCTGGCTCCTAATTGTTAATAATGTTTTATGTGTTTGCTCAATAATATTCGTGATTTTATGTCCGAGTGTGCAGGTGTTTGTGTTGAAGAGTTTTGTAACATTTGTATAAAGCCTTGTTAAGTTAACCTTGTAAATATGAATGTGATGTCTGTTTTTACTTTTTTTAGTTATTTTCTTATGGTTTACAAAATGTGCATAAAAGTGCACATCAGCTCTTTCAAGATGTTACTTGAAATGTTTTCCTTAATATATTTTTTGTTTATATTACATGTATGTGTATATATATATGTGTATATATATGTGTGTGTGTATATAGATATATATATATATGCACATATATGTGTATGTGTATACGTGTACATATATATATGTGTATATAGTATACATATACATGTATACACATATATATTTTGTATTAAAGTTTTAAAAAGTTCTTTATTGTGATTAAAATTCTTGGGCGTTCCTGTTCAAAGGAGACGAGACAGACATGACGAAACCCACTCCTGATGTCCTCATAGATGGCCTTTCTCTCTTATTCACAGCACTGTGAAACCCTTTATCTGCTGAGCTTTTGTCTGACAACAAAAATCATCGTGTGACTATAATTACAGCAAGGAAGCATCGCGAAGTACAAAACTATTCAGGAACTACATGTAGCCGGTGATCGAGGGTAATCTTATAGATTAGATTACACTGAGAGCGTTTGCAGGCAGCTCGCCACACGGACGGCTGAGCTCGCCATTTTTTGTTATTCATGTCTGGGATTACTGAGCATCGCCTCCACTGGTGGGCTCACATTTACTTAGCTTAGGAAGCAGTATGTTTTACGTTTAACGTGGAGTAAATGGTGCAGTGGTGCACACAAACAGCTACATTGTCACCTTGTCTTTTGGGATCTTTGTGTTTTCTGCACAATCCCCTCCGGGGGCTCGTCTGTCAACACTTGTGTTACCTTAGGGAGATTTTGATGCGGAGTTTTCCATGAGGTCGGGTTATGATAAATCCTCCCTGGCTGGGGGGAAATGGTACAATGGAGGAACTGAAAACAGAACGTCAGCTAACATCTATGGGTTTGTTTTTTGTTTTTCTTGTGACTGTGGAACCGTTGCAAAGTACACGAACGAGGAGGAGCGGCGTTTTATCTGACCAAATAACCCAGTGAAGAATGACGTTAATAATAAATAAAAAAAAGTTCTAGTCTTGTCTTACCTCAAGATTCTTCTACAAGTGCCTGATTTCTGGAATGTGTTTTTGTTCTGCGGTGCCATGTGCGGTCCTTATCTTTCCATTTCCTTTTGTTATTTCTGGGTCTCCTCCCTCCTGTACTTTGGCTGATGATGTAGCTAAGGCAACTGACCCAAAGTTGTGTAGGTTATCTATAAGCGCACCCAGTGAGAGGCCGTAGAAAAGCACACTTCAAGCCAAGGACACGTCTATGCACTCTCTTTGCCTTCAACAGAGGCGGTAACAGCTGTAACCCATGCTGCTAAGAGGGAAAAGGCATAGCGCCCTCGCTGCTTTTTCTTAACCAACCGAGGTCATCTCTCTTTGCCGAGTGACAAACAGCGTTTGAATATGGTACACCTAACAAGCCCTTCCCTTAAAACCGCTTCAGGTCTTGCCCGATAGCATCCACCACTCCTGAGGATGGAAAAGCGGCCCACGACTCCATCGGGAGGAAACCTCGTCAGTCGCTGCGCGTTGTCTGAAATGTGATTTTACCTGACGTCTCGCATCCTAAAGTCTTTTTGTACATACTATCTTAATATGTAACATACTGTATTGTGTACATTTGGAATTGCTTTTGAGTATAACTAATATGAAAATGACTGGACTAAAAGGTTGTCCACCTAAAACCATTTCCCTCGTGGCTGTTTGCTTTAAAGCAAGGTTATATGATGTAAATAAACAGAATTATGTTTAAAACAGACTATGTGAGGGTACTTTTCTTTTTCCCAAGACACTCACACATAAAGCAGGAAACTTAAAATAGGAGCTAAACGGCACCCTCTAGGGGCTGTAGGTGAATAAGGTCCCTCAGGCCTCCTGGCACAGATTATTTTCCCTGCACATGAGGGGAACTTCATCTTCCCAGGGCTCTTTGTTTTTAACTTCAATCACCGCATAAATGCACATCATTCTTACCTACCAAAACTGACCGACACATTGAAATGCTTCTGGCCCATTTCAGACCGGCCCTCTTCGGAGACGAGATGGATTCTGAAGAAGGTGGTGAACTCGTGTTGCACTTCTTCCTGCATAAAGTCATTAATAGATTCAGATCTGGGTGGGTTATCCTTGGTAATGCGCATCTCCAAATCCCATCCCCCATCCGCTGTTGTTACAGTCCGGAGTCTCCCTATTCACAGCCCACTGATGTTGATTGGCCCATATTGGGATCCTTGCAAGAAAGGACCCGAGATCATTTGTAACTTGACAAAAGCCGCTGAGAGCAGTTCCTGCAGCTTTTATTTACCGCTTCCTGTGTTTAGCAGCAGACCTCAGAACACATGACACCTCCAGTCAGAATTTCAATCGTTTTATTTGAACTAACGTTTACACACAACTGCTAAAATGCTCACTCTGGAGTTTATTTCTGAAAAAAAGGAGGAAAAAAAAAAAAAAAAGAGGAAAAAGGTCTTTGCAAAATGGCCCAATTAGATGCAATTTCTTATTCAGTGTCTGAATGAGGAAATGCCACATACAATGTTTGTTAATTAAACATTAAACTGTTTCCGTCATCTGATACTAAAGTTGAATTGGAAAAACAAAAATTCTGATACTGGTAAACACCTTTTTTTCCCCCAATATAAAAAAAATGAATCTTAAATTGTCAAATATTTACATTTCCTCTGCATGAAAATGAAACAGCTTACAGTCCAAATAGAAAAAGAAACGTCAAGTAGACTTTTGCATCGCAGTGCAACGACTTGTGTCCAAATGACAAACTGGTTACAGAAAAACTGGTGACAATTTTTTTTTTAAAAGAATGCAGTTGTCCAATGTTTTTACCTTCTTTCCAGTGCCCCCCCCCCCCTACCCCACCTCTTCCAACTCGGGTCGCGTGTCCTCCCCCTTACTTGGCGGGGACCTGGCCCCGGTCCCGGCCCAGCTGGAGCAGCTCCGTGTTCTGGGCCCTCAGTCTCTCCACCTCCAGCTCCATCTCCCGGAGCCGGGAGCTCTCGGCGGCGGGGGCGGGGGCGGGCTCCGCGGCGCGCCGGAGCCTGTTGTTCTCCTCCTCCAGCCGGGACATGCACTTCTCCAGCTCCAGGTACTCGCGCACCAGCTCCTGCTTGGTCATGTTCTGGAGGCTCTCGACGTGGTACATCTCGTAGGTCTCGGAAAAGTCTCTCTGGAGAAACTCCCCCCCGGCGTTCCCGGGCCTCCCGATACCGTCGCTGCCTCCCCCGCCGCTGCCGTCGTCGTCGTCGTCCTCCTCGTTGTCGAAGAGGTCCTCCTCGCTGCCGGTGTCCTCCACGCGGCCGGCCACCGACAGGGAGCGCCGGGCCCCGGTCTCGGTGTTGAGGTCGGGCTCCTCCCGGTCGTGCTCGTCCATCAGGAACTGGGTGGTGTTGTAGGGCGCCACCGGGAGCCCCTTGGCGAACATCTCCTCCCTCATCCGCGAAGCCCGCACCGTCTCCCTCTCCTCCAGGGCTTTCTTCTCCTCCCACGAAAGTTTGTTGTACGGCTTCCAGTTACGCTTCTTCTTGGAGGTCCTGCGCCGGTGCCGCTTCTTGCCGAGGCGCGCGTCCACGCCGGTGTCGGAGTCGATGAGCAAACTCTCCACTTGTGCGTGGTTCAAAGTCTCCTGCAGCGGCGCGTCTTCCCCGTTCTTGTCGCGGGGGTTGTGGTTTCGGTCGCCGGCTGCGTGGGGTCCGGGTTTGTGGTGAGGCCGAGTGGCGTTCTGGCACTTGGGGAGCTCGTTTCCGGCTGCGAAGACAGGGCACACCTCCTTCTGTCCGCCTTTCGTTTGCCATAACTTGCCTGTGTCGATATCCACACTGTTCTCCGCCCGCTGCCGCTGCCTCTGCTGCTGCTCTCTCTGTCGCCCCCTGTCGCCGTTTTCTGGTCCTCCACGGTGTCTGGCTGGGAGATGCTCCAAAGCCTCCCCGCTGCTCCCACCTGATGGGCGGCCCAAAGTTTCCAGGTGATGGGTCTGCTCTGCTGGTTCTGTCATCCTGTCGGTCCCTTCTGGCGAGCCCACTTTAACGCATCATGGTCTCAAGACGAAGCTTCAAAGTTCGTTGAAAATACGAGAAAAAAAAAACTAATCGAAAAAACTACAAAAAACTAAACAAAAATCTTAAACGAGCTAAAATGACAAAAACGAAGTTGCGTTTTGACGTTTGAGAACAAAGTCCCGCAAACTAAAAGTAAAGTTCCGAACAGTGAACACTTGTTACTCCTCCAAGGGGTTTGTCAGAGCAACTGTCGCTAACTACCATTAACTGTTTCAATGCTGTCACAACTACGATTCACTCAGAGACCGCGTTTCGCTGTCTCAACACTGTCCAGTTTGCTGCACAAGAAGAGGGAGCTCGTCTTTATATATGAACTCCGCCTTCAGCCGTACGTACGCTACGGATTCTAACTCCAGGTGGATTGTGGGATATGTGGTTTGAATAACCATAAAATCCAGAGAGCAGATCGGGTTTTTAAACTACATAGTCCACAAGTCTGTTATAACTGAGTAGCTTTTTAACCAATCAAATGGAAGGATCTTGTGAGAAATAAGACCCACCCTCCATTTTCTTGATTGGACTAAAGGACAACTGTGCTGTTGCTAAGCTTAAATTATTTTCTGATTGGATAGGTTAACAATCAATCAGACATACGTAATCAACAGCAAAAAGCAGTCCCGGGCATTTTTCTGGACCCTACTACTTACAAATGAAGGGTTTGCTGCGCTGCACTATGAAACATAAGTTAATACAGACACGTAAAAACCACATAATACTTTACCATTATCAATTAACTGTAGTTAAATCATAAAACATTGTTGTTTTTTTCCATTTTCACGTGATCACATATTCCAAGGTTAACTTAATTATACGAATATTACACCTGCGTTTCAAGCTAAATTAAGCAGTCCACTTATTGAATCTAGTCCGGTTTCAATGTTCATGTTTAAAAATAACTTTATACGGACTGTTATTTATATGTAAATATTTTGTTATGTGTATGTATCAAATGTTTATCATTTTGAACCATTTGGGTGAATAAATGATCAAGTTTTGATGTTCTACGGTGTGCGGAGTAATACCTTGTGAGGCAAGAGAAACTCTGGAATCAGCGTAAACAAACGACATTTATTGTCAAGCTGCTGCCGCCGTCACGGCTCGAGCCCCTCGTTGTCTAAGGGTGGGTCAGGCGATCTCACACTTGCTCAGTAATCCTGTTACAAATGGACAGAGTGGTGTAGATCAGTTTTAGGGGTTTCTTTGCAACCCCTATATGCAGTGTTTAAATGGTTGTTTCGTGTTAACAGCTAAGGATAAGTTAGCTGGCTAACGTTAGCTAAGCGTTAACGTTGGTTAGCGAACGAGCGCTACGTGATGTCGCTCGCAAACACTGCAAAAATGCTATGTTACGTCAAGTCATACTCACTATAACCAAAATCATCCTGAAACGTAGAGGCCATACTCTCATAGTGAATAATTTGTGGCCGTGGCCTGTTTGAAGGCAAACGTCACCCTTGTATAAAGCTAGGCTAGCTAAGGCTAACTAGCTCGCGCTTTGCCTATCGCGAAACAAGTTATGCAGCCATAAGAGTTGAATATTTATCAAATAAAACTGTTTCTGTAACATTACTGTCGTTGGCTAAACAACGGCTATCCAACAATTGTATTATAAGCCCATTGGCAACATGGAGTGATCTATTTTTTACCGTGTGCTAACTAGGCCAACGTGCTCTCAGTGGATCCGCGTAATTCCTGGTCTGTGAAATATCTTTGAAAACTCGTCATTATTTTGTTCCGTTTCGTGTAACGATTTTGGACGTTTTAATATAACTACTGAGCAGTAAAAGTCATAGTCGTTAAATTCACACGAGCAGTTTGAAATCAGCTTTTGATCGTATCAATCCGGCCGTTGTTTAGACTTTCATATATCCAGGAAATAGACACAGCCCAATTTTCCAAGGCAACACTGAGGCTTTGCTCTAATGTACTCCTAGCAAGATTCTTAACTGGTTCAATTCGATCAATTCGTAGTGCATTCAGACCTTTCTTGTGGATTTGAAACAGCCATTGTGTGATTGTGCATAAATAAAAAAGTCGAATAAATCGATGGAATAAAACAAATCTTGTTGTGGAGTGTCATTTTCTTGATATTGCAATTGTAATGTTCTCCAGTGCACTTTTTCACAGATGAAAACAGATCATATGTCCCACAGTTAATTATAGTTAGTATGCATGTTAGTTTTCAGCTGTGCAGGTTTCACTATGTCATGGCCACATACATATGGTTTCCTGACAGCTTTCATAAAGCACTTTGCTTCCATTAATGGAAGAAAATAGGCTATTGAGTCTGTGACCTCTTATTAAGAGTAACTGGTCTCCCCTAACACTGCTTGTAAACACAAGGAATCCAATGGCTACACACAACACTGCCCCACTGTTTCTACTAATAGAAGCAGGCTGAGTTTCAGCCCTGGCAAATCTGCAGGCTGAACTGGAAATCCTTGGAGGAAGAGGTGATACGTTCCAGTTAATAACAAAAAAAAAAAGAAGAAGATACGATTGGGAAATCATGGACAGCGGTGTCCATAGTGTCAAATCAAGGAGCTGTGCAGCAGGAGAGGCAAAGCTGCCCCGACATAGATCACAGTCAGCGAGGATTAGCAGGCATGACTTAATCTCCCCTTGTCTAACATGGTTGTTGTAGCTATTGAGGGGGCACGGTGATTAGGACACTGTTTCAGGCTAAAGTAGAAGACTTCACACAGAATTATATATTATACTTTTAGTGACAGAAACACTTGATGCACCAGCTGCATTAAGTTGAATACACACACCACACGAACCTCTATGGCCGACCTGTGTATGCGGGTGTTTTTATGGATAAGGAAATATTAATATTTTTTGGCTTCCAGGTCAGGGAAAGCCCTCCACACCGCCCAGCTGAGGCCCGTTTCCCTCCGTGTAATAACTCCAGTACTTGGACTTTATGAAGTTTCTAGCCGGTGCTGTGGCACTGTGGACAGGAGCATTGATTTTTCTCTTTCACCAACAACACCGCCCTCAGGATTCATTAGGACGGCGTGCACACACAGGCCTCAGAAGATGAACTGGGCAGAGCAGAGCAGATTTTTTTTTAAGCACCGGCAGTTCACTAGAACCAACAACAGGGGGCGCTGTTGCCCTATCCACTAACTCATTACTTGCATTTTGCAGTTTGTGCCCGTTTTCAAAACAAAGATAAAAGATGAATATCAGTAAAGATGCTGTGATTTCTGTTTGAATTTTTTCCAAAGTCGTTTCAGTCGTGATAACACCCTCTGATGGCAGCCACAGTATTCTTGTGATTAAAGACAAAGTGTGTGTAAAAGTGAGTCGAAGCCATGACATCATAGTTGCATGTGCATGTTTACATTTGAGTAAACTTTTGTGAACACTTTCTAGAAACCAGACTGTTAAACAATCTTCTGTATGTTGATGCAGATTAAAAGGTACAATGACTTTAAAAAGGGCAGAAGTGTGGTCTGTTATTTAAAAAAAAAAAAGTTCTACTAATGGTAATGGGAACCATTCCTGCCTGGCATTAGCTGGGTTTCTCTGTAGGAGACAGAAGGAGCAACAGGGGGAGGAGAAGGTGGCGCCTTTGGTTGGAGTCATGTTACGCCCCTGCGTGGAGAGGAGGGACACACTTCCACATGTGGAAAAGGAATAAGCACCACTCGTGGTTTGTGTGTGTCCGTGCTCCGGGTCTGTCCGCGGACGCGTAAAGGCACCTGCGTCCGCACCCAGAGGATCGACGCGCAGAGACGCTGAAGTTATGTTGGGCAGCGGCAAGCCCCCGGCCACCAGCTCCAGGGAGCAGAGGAGGAAAGTGGCCGAGAAGACGACGGATCCAATCAAGAGGCTCGGTAAGGAGATTTGGATTAAAATGTAAAAAGGATAAACAACTTTTTTTCTAGTGCGAGCAAAAACACTTATACTGTTGAGTCTGAATAGACTTATGAGAAAAGTTACAGCAGCTGTCTGTTTTGGAGGCTAATTCAAATCTTAATGGCTTTTTAAAGCATTTTAAAAACTTTTTTTAAACTACCATTTTAAAAGATAAGATGAATATTTTTTCCACATATTTTGCTGAATTCCCTTTTTTTAGGCCCTCTGTATTTTCTTATTTATCTTGAAGTTCAACAATCATGCTGTAGAGTTGATCTATTTAAAGCAATTAAAAAAATATAAAATGCTGTCTCATAGCTTTTATGGAAAATGACAGTTTGCTGTGGATGAGCCGATAATGGGAGGTCAGTGACACACCAAACGGGGACTAAAATCTACTGTGTGGGTGCACTTTGGACAATGCATTTCATGGCCCACGGTTGTGACTAAAGGCTCCTCCTCGGTGTCCTCCCAGCCAGCTGGTCTGGCCCTGCCCAGCCCTGGCGGGCTGCTGACCCTCGCCACAGACCCTCTTAAGCAACCATCGCACCTCACCCTAAAATAGACACCTGCTAGGCAACCGTAGAGCACCTGTCAGGATCTCCGATAAGAGCCCCGCAAGTCTGGAAATCTGGACCCTCGGCTGATGCTGTTTGACCTAGTTAGTCTGCCCACATCGGAAATCGTATTTATTAGAAAAAGCCCTGATATGAAACACTCATTCGGGAGGTAACGGACAACAAGGAGCCGCCCTGCTCTGACTGTGTACACGCCTAATGAAGCTTTGCTGATGTTTCAGCTGTGAAACCGTATCTCCGTCTAACTGCCAATGCTATATTTGAGTCGTCCGCTAATACTTAATAATGAAGCGGGTGAGGTGACCCTATCAGCGGCCCAGCTGACCCTTTACCAGCGTGTGTCAGCATGAGTCGGCCCTCGTCTCAGCCGGGCCCTCTTCAAGTCTGGCTCACATCTGAAGGAGAAACCAGTTCAAAGGTTTTTTGCATCATGTGGTGTCACAGGACCGCCTCGACGTCCTCACGCAAAGATTTCTCCCTTCCTGTAATCCTTCGTCCTGCAGACAAAGCGAGGGATGTGACCTGCGCGGCACAGATTTGTTAGCGGCGAGATAATCCCGGCGCGCGTGGTAACTTACATTTTATGGCTCCAGACGCGGGGAGTGTGGTGCGGACGGGATTTTTTTATGGAAAGGTTGTGGGACGGCCAGTTTCCCCGTAAAAGCAAACAGCCTCCCTCCGTAACCTTTACACAAACGCCGTTACGGCGCTAAAGCAATCGCACAAGTTGACTGGTGGACTACTCAAGCTCGGGGAACTAAATCTGTTTAGATAGACCCATCTAGAACACTTTTCAAAACAAAATCGTACATTAGATGTGAAAATAGAGAGAGATACGAACTTTGGGATGTCTTGGATCGAGGGAGTTTCTGTGCTCCAGGTCTTAGACGTTCCCTTGCCTCAACACACCTGATTCACACTCTGTCTGTGCAGGGCTCAGCGACCTCGTGAAGAGATCCATTTCCTCAGAATCTGGTGTGTTGAAGCAGGGAAACATCTAAAACATGCGGGGCAGCAGGCCTCAAGGTCTGGAGATTGATATCTCTGTCTGAGATGTTAAATCCTACTTTATCCAGTGATATATCTGATACTACAAGTCAGTCCAGTGGTTCTACAAGTATCCCTAAAGGCTCCATGCTCATTAGCTTACTGCAGTTTGCACATTTCAAATATTGTTTTAGGTCATTTTATTCTTTTCTTTTACACACTAGAGACATCCCAAACCTTTCTTCTTAAGGTTCTGTGGGTTATGATATAAGAACACAAAGCACAAATACCAGCAGGTCCTGAATGTCAGAGGTGTATACACAACAGGGCCCACCTGTTGCTCTTCAACCAAGTTCTGATCTCCATCACCTGATCTGACAGCTTTTAATTAAGGTTTTATGGTTCAAAATAACATATGGAGGCCTGACACTATAATAATAAAGTCCACCCCCTCATATCCTGTGATTAGTGAGCAATGACTACATCTGTGAGGGGTGTTTCCATTCTCCATGCAGCTCCTCCCCTCTCAGTTTATTGGATTTCTGAGATGGAGTTTATTCTCTGCACATGCAGGCAGAAAATAATGTTTGTGAGATTTATAGCATATTGTTTTTGGCATTTGTCAGCATTACTTTTTGGTTTCGGCAGGAGGAGCATGACGCAAGCTCAGAGGATTTTAAAACCTTTGTCAAATGTGTTTGGCTCAGTTTGTTTGAAAGAAAGTTGCGACATCATAAGTCGATTTTGAAAACTGGCAGAAATGGGCACCATTTTGAAAGCTCGTTTTCTTTCCTCCAGCCTGAAAGATTAAAATCAGGAGCTGCACTTTGTTTCCATCGAACCACACGACTGGTCTCAGACACTTTTTCACACTAACCTCTGAATGAAGTTGTAACATGAAGTCCAACTCATGTCGTAACATGAGTTGGACAACAGGTATTTCAACTGTTTACTGAAAAGATTGTGAAGTGCTTTATTCTCGACATGAATACAGATATTAAAGTCTGCTTATAGTGCATCTGCACCCTGTAATTCCTTCTCCCCATGTGGTCCTGTCTTTTTTATTACTGAGCATATGATGTTTCATGTCTTATGGAAGGGAATGTTTCATTAAAAGCTGCTTATTTCTAACTGAATACAAAGATGCTGGATGAATAATAACATCTCACATTTGGCTTTGTCTTGAGTCCCTTCTATCTTTTTTTTTTTTTAATGGGAGGGGGTCAGATCAGGAAATCCCTCAGATACTCTCAGATCCAAAGATTTTTCAAAAAAACGTTCTGGTTTTCATCAGATCGTCTTTTCCTGTTGCATTCGTTGAGGACTTTGATTTAGAGATGCGGACTGGACATTCCAGCCCCGCTGCCGGGAACAGCTGTAGGACTACATTCAGAAACGTTAGTAGGTTTCAAATCCACAACACCCTAATCTGTCTTTATATAAGGAAGTGTAAAACCCATGATAGCTGGAGCTCGCTCTCTGAGGGTTGTGAGAAATGCTGAGAGAAATGTGAACCATCTCTCAGGAGGAGCTGGAAAATCATGGGGAGACTCATCTGACCAGCTGATTTTTAATCCTTATTGTTTTATGTTTCTGCCACTCCTGTCCCTCAGGAACTCATTTAAGTGCTGATCTTGTTGAGGGTTTTCTCTGTTTTGGGGTTTGCTCCTCTTGTTCATAGACAGAGTTTCCAGTTATGCCTATATTATAGGGCTTTGTTGTATAAAGTGCTAGTTGTACAGGATAAAAAGCAAGTCAAAGGTCACGATAATAGGATGCGCGGAAGAAAAGCCTCAAGAAGCTTCATTTTCAGAGCTCTGATTTAATCGTACACTGTATCAGGACCATACAGCACTTACCCTTGGAGGTGACAACAACAGGACGGGTCACAGCACCCATTTTCTGAAACCAAGGATTAAACCGTGCCAGATTAATTAAGGGTTCCCTGATTTAGTCTCTAATCCAAGTTAAACAAACACAAGTGATTCTTTAATCTAAGTTCTGTACACTCAACAGACACAATTAAACTCAAAAGAACAGGACTTCTGTACGTTTCCACCCCTATCTACTCTGTCTGAATGGTTTGCCCCAAACAGGTGACCAGTCAACCACATTCCTTCAACATTTGGCTCAAAGCCGTCCTCGTGTGTGCACTACATGACAACAAATAAACCTCAAAGAAAGAGTGCGTCAGAGACCAATCCAACAAAACACAAAAGTCATACATGAATCGTATTAAAAAGTATTTCCCCCCAGGTGAGCGGGCTGCTGCACAGCATCCTCACACAATCCCTCTTTATCTCGAGCTCCATCATAACCTTCATTTCCCGATGTTTGGCTTATTATTTTAGTTATTTTCTGGGGTCTGCATGCTGGGGTGTAGCCCAACTTTCGCCCACTGACAGCCGGGATGGGCTCATAAGCCGCACAGAAAATGAATGGATAAAACTTTTTTTTTTTGTTGATTTGTTTCCATTGAAACAATGCAAACCAGTACTTTACAGATTCTGTGGCGTTTGTCCACCCCAAACACCAAACAGTTTCAGACATCGTCAGCGGTGGTTTTGTGTTGCAGATGAATCCACATTTTTAATGAAAGACAGAAAAAGTATTGCAATGTGGCTGAATTTTTAAAATCCTTTACAGCATTTTTCTATTGAAATCTGCTTTAAATCAGTCACTTCTTGTTTTTTCTCTCCCTTTTTCAACTGGTGTGCATTTTCCATTTTTCTCTTTTAATTTCGCTGCCCCCCACCACTTTTTGCTCATTTGAAGAGATGGCTTTTTCTGGTTTCCATGATGTGTTATGTTTGGGGATGTGCTGCAGGAAGTTGGGCCTTAAAGTACAGCTGCGGAACAAAGTACCCAGGAATCTCTCCTCTGAAATATTTTCATTAAAATACGGCAGCGCGGCGGCTAAACGGTCGGCATTCAGGAATTCAAGCAGCTGACGAAGTGGCTGTCAACCAGATTTTCTGCTGGAGTCGCTGAAAATAAAATGCGATGCAGCTCTGCGGCCCGAAATCTCTTGAGATGCACACAGCCGATCTCACGTGAACGGAACGCAAACCGGGCTGTGGATGCGGTCGCAGCTTTGAACAAACGTGTTTGGAAATGGAAAGTGTGCGGAGTAGCTGAAGCAGTGAGGGGACTCGGAGCCAGTCGAGGCTGTTTGGGCAGCCCGGCGTGGTCAATGACCTGCAGTTAATCAGGTCCCTGTGCTTCTTGTGGGAATGCCTTGCATGTGGCAACAGCTTGGAAAAACAGGCTTGTTATGGAAGAAGCACTGGTAGGGGGATTTCTTTGTGTTCAGCTTGAAACCCATGGTGGCAGGGAGGGGAGCTGAGAGCGGTTTCTGTGTGCTGTAGCTTTGGGGGGGGCCCCGCGAGGAACTCTGTTATCCGTTTGGCACTGACAGTACGGGCACTGCGATTTAAAGGGTAAAAAGAAAGAAAGTATGCCAACCGCGTCTGGACAAATCTTTAGGGGTGAGCAGAAGAGACTAAACCCTGATGAGTAATTTAAGGAGTGAGGGTTTGTTTGGGCAGCTTCTTTGTATTGAAAAGAAAGAGAAATCTCTGTGAGAGCTCTCTTTATCACAAAGCAAGCATTGAAGCATGGCTGACTGACCATCGCCACTCGTTCTGTACAGCATTTCGAAGCAACACGCAGGAGGCATATTCTTAGTTGCCGCTTAGAAATAGCCTGTTTTTATTCTTAATTTGATTAATATGATTGATTTTTTTTTTACACATTTATACATTTGTGCAGTAAGTTACCTAAAGACACCTAATACATAAAAATGCACAACAACTAAAAACAACTAAACAAAAGTGAGTAAATCTTTCGACATATTGCAGTTGACCCTTATGAAAATGTCCACATCACTGTATTGGATTGTACTCTGAGCCCTCTGTGGGTTTGTCATATTTAACCGGTGAAATACCTGATTCAGCACTGTCTGTAATCATTACAAGCTTTGGACCAGACAAGCTTGTATTGATTTTGACATTAGTTTAAGATATGAATCGATAATGGCCATTCAACCACTGTCCCAGATTCAATACGTTGTGCGTACAGTGACTTAAAAAAAGTCTGAAAATGTCTATTTGATTGATTTTTCCGGTGGTCACTCCGGTGGTATATTCCTAGACCACTTATTTAAACCTCATTTATTCCTTAATGATTCTCTATCTATATGTGGCCAGTTTATAAGAGAGGACCAGACATAAAGAAATGTTTTTTGGTGGGTTCTTATTCCCCAAATGTACTCAGACATAAAACAGCATAAATATATATATTTTTAAAATCATTTTGAGGGTGGTATAAAAGAAAATTCACATAAAAGAATAATAAAACAAACATTTATTTTCAGCAAAGTTCATTTTGTGACTTTAACCTTCACAGTCCTACATGAGCAGGAAACTACACTCAACCTTACACCATCACTTACAGCAAAAATTTCCCAAGTAAACAAAGATACGTTTTATTTTCTCAAAAATGTTATTACAACGGATCCTGCATTAACTTAAATAACTTCCTCTTAACATGTAAATCATGAATTCACTCACATCCAGTGGATAGACGTCCTCGATTCATGTCTGTAGGCAGGATGCAAAAAGTCTTTCTCCCCTCTGTGACGGATATCAATGTACAAAATCCTACTTAGACTTAGATCATTCTTTTTGTCCCACTGATTCGACTCATTCTAAGCAGAATAGAGACAGCACGCACACACACACACACCTGTGCATTTACTCGTCATACACCCGATTATTAATTCCCTAACGTTCATCCATTGACTCTGCTGGTTGTTAGCTGTGGGATTTACCGTTTTTCAGTAGGTTTTTATCCTCACAGTTCACATTTACACAACTTAGCAGCGGCTAGCTTTCCGATTTTCGCAGGTCTGTGTGGTCCCAAGGGGCCTCTGAGTACTCACAAGATTTGCAGTTGCTGCTCTTAGAGTCACAGTAACCTTCTTTACTGCCTTATCACTAAGAAAATACACAAATAAAGGACTGTAACCCCCAGTTCCCCTGGCTACATATAAAACCTTTTTGATCTGTGGATTTTTATAGCCCCTGCAGTTGTGTGTCCTCAATGATTAACCCTTTTCTTTCTCTGCTCCCTGTTGGCCTGCCGTGACTGCGACCGGATTTCGGAGCAGCAACTGATTCTCTTCACTTTTGTGTGTTTCGTCGTTATTCAGATGTCCACACTTGAGCAGAATGACTTTGTTGATGCTTGAAGTCACTTTCCGGGGCTGAGTTCCTTCCACACGTTTGCCCATTTCCTCTAAGGCTTGTTTACAGAACGCAACCTGCAGTTTAGAGTGTAAGCAGAGAGCTTATGACTGTATTTATGAGTTCATCCTCTCAAATGAAAGGTCAGTTTTACTGATTTTTCCTGTGGATGAATCAGGGTTAGTCGTCTTTCAGAGCTACGCAAACTTATGCAAAGTTGCACAAGTCATTCTAAAGTTTGGTGAATTTATTATTATTACTGATTGAATCACAACATTTTGTGTCTTTATTAAAAAGACACGACATGAACGTGTCCAATTTTGTTTTGCCGTTGTGGCTCCTGCAGGCCTTCTGGACAATGAGGACATCCAAGTGATGATGCAGGGCTCCAGCATGGTGAAAGTTCGTTCTTCGAGGTGGCAGAAGAGCCGAAGCATGCGGCTGCTGGAGGACGGGCTGACTGTGTGGTGCGAGTCCACCAAGAGCTCCCGCAAAGCCAAATCCCAGCAGACATGTAAGTTCGACTGAAAGCTGGCTTTATTATATAAGTGCGCGGGTGTGTGTGTGTGTACGGGGGGGTTGTTACCGCAACGTAATTATCGAGAGGAAGGATTTGTAGCTGAAAACAAAAACATACGGTGAATCGAGAGAAAGAGGAAGGCATCACGAGTTAATGTGAGAAAGGATCTCTAAGATTAAACGTGCTCCTAAATAGGAACTCCTCTCCTGGAGTAAGAGCCAAGGAAACTCGGCCCGTTTCAGATAAGCAGAACATCAAAAGAAACTTAGCATAGGAGCTCCTGTATCAGGCTTTCCTCCAGCCCAGCACAGACTTGGATGTGCACCATTGTGCTCAGTAACCTTGCATATTGTTCAGAGTTGTTGAGCAGCTTTATCTTGGCCTCATCTCACGCCCTTCCGTCCGGGAACGGGATCGCTCACTTACTTCTCTGTTAGACACGGGTTCTGCACCACGGCTGAATAAATGCTACCAGCTTCCAAAAATAAAATAAAAACAACGTGGAACTGCCTCCATGACTGGTTAGCTAAAGGTTTCGGGGGAAAATCTCTTAAATAGATAATTATGCAGTATTCTGACAGGTTGAGTTGCAGACCTCAGAGGAAGCATCCTTCTTTTGTTCCTGTTTCCAGCTGCTGAAGAAAGCGTAAACAATGCACATAACAGACTGAATAAGTTGAACTGGCTGTATGACAGCAGGTAACCAAGACCAAAACCTAAAGTAGTTCACAACCAACACATCTTCCCTACCTGTCAATCAAATGTCCATCGACTGTGTCTTTCACTGGCATTTAGAATTCAACATAATTTTCTTACCTCTTATGTTCTTCCCTCCTGAGTATTTGAGACTGTTTTCTAGATATTGTAGTGTAGAAGCTTAATCTTTCTCAGTGGTAAGTAGTGGAGAAAGAAATTGATACAATGAGATGCTGACTTGCAAAATGCTTTCAGATACATTAAAGTCTTTCACAGGGTTATTTTGGGGACTCGGTTTGAGGGTGTCTCTACAGTATTTCTGGCACTTTGTGTTAGAGCTCACCCACTGACTGTCAAAGCATCGCAGAGCAAAGGATGACCTAAATTCTACACACACACACACACACACAAACACTTTGCACTGTGAGTTAAAGTAAAGGCAAACACTTGACATGCACAAATCGACCACTCCCATCCTGGAAAAATGAGCTCTGATCAAAGAACATCCAAAGGTACTCTGAACTGTCTTGTGCTTGGACCTTATAGAAATGGATCCTTTAGGGAATATGGGTTGTGGGGAGGGTATTTGTCTACTGTGCTTTACTTGCACAAATACAACCATATCCCCTCAAATCTGGAGATTTTGGAGGATCTTTGACATCAGCTGTTTTTGTAAGGCTCAGGGCTGTCTCTCAGTGGACATTTTTAACATCTGTTTAAGAGGGTGTCATAGCCAGTTCCAAGAAATGTCCGGTCATTTATCTGCTATCTCCTCAGATTAAAATGTTCTGTCTGGCCGCTTCAGGTGGAAAAGTGTCATCTGACGGGACTGAGAAACAAAATCTCCCACTGTCTTTTACGGTCCTTGGCTTTCCCTCCTTTTTTGCGCCGAGGCTGGAATGCTGCTTGACGTTAACCGTCTGCTGGACGTCGGGAGATGAGCAGGTTGCGGCCAGAAATAGAAGCGGAGCGGCCAGGTTGTAACTCTCCATACGGCGATGACAACAAGCTGTGTTAATGAAGGCTAACCACTTCAGGGGACGGATTCTGATAATGCCACACCAGCAAGCTGCCCAGGCCCAAATCTGTGTGTGCTTGTGAGCTCGGGGGATGGAGACTTGGCGCCGCTCCTCTTTTCCAAACTCCAGGCGCCTCTCCAGGTCCAGTTTGATCTGATGCCTGCAGTTGTGCAATGTTGTCTCTTCCACTCCAAAGCACTTGGCATTAGGCTGCGCCACCTAAAAACTTATTTTTCCTCCCAGCACATGCGCACACACACACACACACACACACACACACACACACACACACACACACACACACACACACACACATGTCACTTCTGCCACGTCTCTGGGATAGCCACAAAGGAGGAATGTGGAGTAATTTTGAAGAGGTGGAGAGCAGAGGCTTTTACGGCCTCCTGTGAGAGAATGAGGCTATTGTCGGGGCAGACACAGCTGAGCGATCATCACACTGCCGTCTCCTCAGTGGAGAATAAGAGGAGCTCCTGTGCTGAATAAATATGTTTGTGTTAGAATCTGCTGGAAGCTGCTTAGTTCTAGGTCAGTCCGTTCTCCCTGAGATTTATGTGTGATTTAAAGCCGTAAATATCGACCTCTTAGATGTGTGACAAATGATTCAAACCCAACACTCTCGCTATGAGAGACACAGCATCTATCATTGCATTTATCATGTCCAGTTAATTCATTTGTGACAGATGGAAGAGGGAGTACAACCTAAAAGTCTTGAATGTCTCATGTTAATGTGCATACTACAAGGAGGAAAATGGCAGAACACCTTTCAGATGGATGGAAATGTTGAAAACAGTTGCTGTACGTATCAAAACATGATCTTTCTACTTCATGAGAAGTATCTAAGAGCTCTAAAAACAGCTGTGGAAGAAAAGTCAGACCAACATCACCATATTTTAAAACTGCAGATGACCCGGGAGATCCAGATATACAAAGTGCAAACAGCTTACAGGGATCTGTTTATGATTTGGAAACGTTTCACCGTGAACGTGCTGTCTTGGGAAAAATTATATCTTTCCTGACCTTTTTTAGAAGGTTTTTAAAGATAAATTGAGATGTACAGATGGAGCTGGCAGATGCTCTTGAGGCTGAATCAGTGCACCACAGTTTAGGGTGGAAAAGAAGAAGTATTTGTCATTAATATTCGAGAGACGCTAGTTGGACTTTTTGGTGTAGAACTATTATTCCAATCCTGCCAACAGTGCCCAGGAAGACCCTTTGTGCAAGCAGAGAGTGATTAAAGTCCTCCCCCAACTTTTGTCTAATGCAAACTAAGCTAATTTCCCTAAATGTCTGCATAGAAAAGGAAGCCTGAGCGTCTACAAGCTTCTTTGTGTGCATGTGTGTCAAAGTTATCCCATTTAGAAGCATTCCAAGGACTCTGGTTGTATTGGCTGGTTATATTTTACAATCTCTTTGCTGTTTCCCTCCGATTGGTGGTATTTATGATTCCCTAAAAACCCCTCAGGCTTGACCTTTGGCTGGCCGGTGTGTTGTTATGTTCCACGGCCAGAGCTGTTTACTCCTGAACACAGGCTGAGCTTTCCTTCCCTTTCTTCTCCAGTCGCGGTGACGGAGGTGGAATGTGTGCGCGAGGGCTGCCAGTCGGAGGCGCTGAGGAGACTATCTGGGTCGGTGCAGGAGAACCAGTGCTTCACGGTGGTGTTCAGGGGAGCCAGGAAGAGCCTGGACCTGCTGTCCCCCTGTCCAGACCAAGCCCAGCGTTGGGTGCGAGGCCTCCGTTTCCTGAAGGAGCGCGTGGCCAACATGACGCAGAAGGAAAAACTGGACCAATATCCTGTCATAATGAATTTCCAGCATGCTCGTACAAATATAGTGTAGCTGAGGCAGCATTGCTATGGTGACTGGCTCTGCTGTCATGTGTCATCCCACGTCCTGAACATAACTTAGGTGTGCAGTAATGATTGCATAAAAATGTCTAAATATAGTCCAACTATCTCTGCTAATTGCAGAGGATAGAGTGTGTGTAGGTATCTATGTCCAGTATGAAAGTGGGAGAGGAGAAGTCACCAAAAACTATGGCTTGAACACGCGAAAAACTATTTTAGAATCTTAAATTGGCAGGAAAGATAGAAAAAAACCATCATCTATTTAAATAGTCACTGACAAGTTATTTCTAAGCCAGAGTGAACACGTCCTCCTCAGGGAGGGTAATTCAGGGAGTATGCTGGGACCAAATGCTGACTGTCTGATTCATATTTCAGCCCTGTTTTTTTCCTTAACTCCCTACAATTGGATTCGTGGCTACCTGAGACGAGCGGATCAGAACCAGGACGGCAAGATGAGCTACGACGAGGTCAAACAGCTTCTGCAGATGATCAACATTGACCTGAACGAGCAGTACGCCCGCTCCCTGTTCAAGGTGAGGCTCAGAATTTGTGTCCTTATGATTGAGAATAGCTAATATCAGCTGAAAACTGCAAGCATGGAAGAGCTGATTGTATTTAGTAAGTGTGGTGTTATTTTTCCGGGCTGCATGGAGTCCAGATTCTGTGTTCAATTACAGACCCAGTGGCAAGCCAACCACCAGCTCCCCTCTTCATAGTTATCCCCCCCATTCTTATCTCCCCCACAGCATATGAGAAGACATTTGTTTCTGTCTTTTGGAGGGATACTGCCTGCCATGTGCCTCCGCTCCCTCTAACACAGGACTAGTTAGTTTATCTTTCTTCCCCATGCCATTTTCACCCCCGACCCTGCCTCACAGAGCCACATTTTTAAAGTGTTCACAGCTGTGTTGAGTTAGTGTGAAAATGTTTTTCCCGAGGGGAATGTGAAACACTCCCAAAAACAAAACCATGCTGTGCTTAACATTTGCCTATATCCCTGCCTGCTTGTGTTTGTTTGCTTATCCGTATCAACTCGTGCGTCCACCTCGAAATCCAGCGGTGCGACAGATCCGGGGATGGTCGCCTGGATCACACGGAGACGGAGGAGTTCTGCAGAGAGCTGCTCCGACGACCCGAGCTCGACGCTGTGTTCAGACACTATTCGAGCAACGGTTGTGTGCTTTCCACTGCGGAGCTGCGAGACTTCCTGGGAGATCAAGGAGAGGACGCCTCGCTGAATCACGCTCAGACGCTGATCCTCACATACGAGCTCAATGACTGGGGTGAGTCCCCTGTGAGCAGTCATTAAAGGAGCGGAGGGGAGGAATCCATCGTGTTTTCACACAAACACTCTGTGAACGGGATTTATTTGATGCCGTTACTAGATGATAAAACAGTGATTTAGTCCGTCACACCAAACATGTTTGCTTCATGGAGGTAGCAATCAAATCCTTCTGCCACACAAAATACTGGTACACTTTGAAATATTCTCATTTATCTCTATTGTCTTTGTATTAAAAATAACTAAAAATAAGATATTAAAGCATGACAGCAAACCAAGATTTGGTTTCCTTAAAATAAATACTGTCTTTTAAAACTGAAAGAGCTGAACTTCATACAGCAGCGCCACAGCAATGACAAATAATAGATTGGTGGGAACATTTGTTGCAGCTCAGAGGAACCTGTTCATGACCCAGAACGGTTTCACCATGTACATGCTGTCTCTGGAAAATGATATCTTCAACCCCGACCACGCCAGAGTGTACCAGGACATGAGCCGCCCCTTGGCGCACTACTTCATCTCCTCGTCGCACAACACGTACCTCACCAAAGACCAGGTTACCAGCGCCAGCAGCACGGAGCCGTACATCAGGTAAACAGACACAGACACGGGGGTTGTGGTGGTGGGGGGAAGGGAGCCGCTCGTGTCTGACCACAGCTCCCTCTCAAACCGCCTGTCTTTGCTTTGAAACGTCAGGGCTCTGAACCAGGGCTGCCGCTGTGTGGAGCTGGACTGCTGGGATGGAGATAAGGGTGAACCGGTCATCTACCACGGCCACACTCTCACCTCCAAGATTCCCTTTAAGGAGGTCATCGAGACCATCGCCCAGTATGCCTTCAAAGTATGAGACATGGCCTCAGCGGTGGTCGTGCACCTGCTCCTTAACAGTTAATTTTACCAGACTGCAGCCTCTCACAGTGTATCGCACTTCCTGTAATTACATACTGTATATGTTGTTTGAGACACTTTAGTAATCTCACTTTAGTCATTTAGTTGGGTTCATCAACTTGATTGTGTGGCCTATTTGAGTTTGTGCTGCTTAGCTTAGGGGTTGGGATCTTTCTTTTTTCTCTGCAGGCGTCCCCATACCCTCTGATCCTATCCTTGGAGAACCACTGCTCTGTGGAGCAGCAGGCTGTCATGGCTAAACACCTCCGCTCCATTCTGGGAAGGAGATTACTCACCAGGCCTCTTAGTGACCTGCCACTGAAAGAGCTGCCTTCTCCTGAGGTGCGCACACACACACATACATACAGCTGGGCCCTGTATTGATGTCCTCTCGTTTTTTTTTATTTTTTATAAAGCAATTTGTTCCAATTTGTTCCATTGACCATCCTTGCAGGAGCTCAAGGGGTGTATTCTGGTAAAGGGGAAGAAGCACACACCTCACCTGACTCAGCTGAGCAAAAATGGAAGCTTTGCCAGCTTCTCCTCAAGCTCTGAGGATGAAATGGCAAGCGGCAGCAAGAACACCCCCAAAAAGGATCCCGCAAAGGTCAGAACAGAAGGAGTCGTTAAGCCTCCGATGCATTTCACGAAAAGGCTTAAATAAGTCCAACGTCTGGGTCGGTTGTGTCCTTTCTCAGGTCTGTTCTAAGCTGAGCCAGGAGATGTCGGCGCTGGTGGTGTACTGCAGAAGCGTCCCTTTCCGAGGCTTCGAAAAGACATCAAAAACGTATCCGAATGAAATGTCTTCCTTCTCTGAAAGCGAGGCCCTCCGCCTCATCAAAGACTCGGGTACAACAAAGGACATAATTGTATCTTTACTCTGTACAGAAGAGCCCAAAAGTCTTTTTTCTGCAGCTTGATTTGTAGAATATGTCATCAGCCTCCAGTGTATCATTGCATGCTGGCTTTTTCTCTTTTCATTTGCAGGGAAGCTTTTTGTGAGGCACAACAGCAGGCAGCTGAGCCGGATCTACCCCTCTGGCCAGCGCCTGCAATCATCCAACTATGATCCTCAGGAAATGTGGAACTGCGGCTGCCAGATGGGTCGGTATTCAACGCTAGAAGCTCGGATGCTATTTAGATAGCAGCCAACTATGTGTGCTTGATAGAAAAGATCAAGTCTGGGAAGTCACTGACCCACTGAATGTGATGTACGTGTGTGAGCTGTTGTGTGTTTGTTGGCGTAACCGACTTGAGTTCTCATTGCTCTGCAGTGGCTCTGAACTTCCAGACCCCCGGCGAGCAGATGGACCTGAATCAGGGTCGCTTCCTCCCCAACGGCCGCTGCGGATACATCCTCAAACCCGGCTTCTTGTGCAGCTCCTCATCCAGCTTTGACCCAGAGAACACGGGTGGAGGGCCCGGTCACACCCCCACCCAGCTGACCATTCGAGTGAGCTTCGACTCTGAATGACTGTTGCAGAAAATGTGGTGTGCTGGTGAATATCTGTTGATTTCCAGGGACATCGGTCTCTGTGTGCGATGCTGTTTAGCTGTTTGTTACTTTTATCCATCATGGACAGCCGTGTGATGCAACCTGTGTACATTTTAGGCTGTATATATCAGCACGTGATAACAACGATCCCAAACACAGCAGCAAATCTACAGCTGAATGCAATAAAAACAGAGAATCAAGGTGGTGCATTGGTCCAGTCCGAGTCTGGACCTGATCGAAATGCTGCAGCGGGACTTCAAGAGAGCTCGAGAGAAACCGATTCTTTAAACCTCAGTGATGGAGAAAATGGTCTCTTTCAGGATTCTCCACAAAGATGTGAGAGACTGAGAGACAGAGTAAACAATGACTTCAAGCTATTGTTCCTGAAGGCGTTTCCGCGGTTTTGAGTCATGGATTGTACTTCTGAGTTTCACCTACTGCTTCTTCATGTTTGCTTAGTTTTGTGAGGAAAAAATAAAAGGTATCCTATTTCAGGGACAGTTACTCATCGGAGGTGGTATTTAGCAAACACGAGGACCTGGTAAGGACCGGGTAAGCACCTGATGATTTTTTTTTTATTGTATATCCACAAACCCAGAAACCTCGCAACTGAATGAGTTTTTTTTTCTTTTTTATGTGACTGAACACAAAGGGATGTCTTCTGTTTTTTCTGTTTTGTGCTCAAATTCTGAAGAGATAAGAGAGCTTTCGTGTTCCCAGACTGTAATAACAAAATTAGAGGGTTTTTTTGTGGACTAGAGGGACCACAGAGTCATTTTGCTTCATTTCTGAATGGACAGATTTTTTATTTATTTCATTTTTTTGCCTTTCAGATTATTACTGCACAGCAGCTGCCGAAAATCAACACAGACAAAGCGAGCTCCATTGTGGATCCACAAGTGTGGGTGGAAATTCATGGAGTGGCTATTGATAATGCAAGAGACAAAACCCAGCGCATTGACAACAATGGTAATGCAAATATTTTGTTATTCATAGTGAAATGGATGAAGCATCAGCCCTTTCATTAGCTGGATGACACTTATGATGAATTTACCGATACAGTCACATGATTTTGTTTTCAGCATTTTATCCGACTGGCGCGTGATATCAACATGCTGTTTTATACCCGTTTCTGTGCAGATTAGACAGATGTTTGTAGGTGCCTCTCCTGTTTAACGCCATGATCAGTTTGTGTGAAGGGTACCCGCCACTGGACTGCTGTATTTATGGCTCTTGTGCGCCCTCTACAGGTTTCAACCCACGCTGGGACTGCACTCTCAGCTTCCAGCTGCAGGTCCCTGAACTGGCCCTGGTGCGTTTCGTGGTGGAGGACCACGATCACACAGCCAAAAACGACTTTGTGGGGCAGTTCACTTGTCCTTTAACGAGCCTCCGCACAGGTACCCAGCCATCAGAAATGTGTCATATCTGCACTTTGGCCGTTCGTTTCTAACTCATGATTCATTCTCTCCTCTCAGGTTATCGGCACGTTCACCTGCTAAAGGCAGACGGCTCCAGTCTGTCACCAGCTACTCTCTTCATCCATGTAAAAGTCAGCCGCAAAGGAATTCCTGTCAAAAGTGTGTCGGAGCATATGGCCGCCTGCAGAGGGAAAGTGTGAAATAGGTCCGAAGCAGATGAAAAGATGAAGGATTTTTACAACGAATGGCCTCATAAGAAGAGGCTGTGAATGCGAAGGGAATGCTGCCTTTGCTGCTCTTAAAGTTTGAACCTAGGCTGTTCCAGTTTCTACTCGGCTACTTCCCAACAATGGAAGGAAGATTTTATTTATCAGAAATGAAGAGTTGTGTCCACTCTCAGATGCAGGCGTGGAGTATCTGCTGAGAGACAGAAAAGAGAGCACTGGACACTCACCAAACACATGTTTAAAGACCGACTGAAAAAACATTGTCTTAGCTCTTAAAAAGTCCTGTACAGAGACAGGCGTTTTTCAGAATTACTGATTTTAGAAATATTTTAGCTTTTTTAAAAATATAGAATAGCTTACATTTTAACTTAAGATATGAGAGTTTTTGAACAGAACAAAAATAGCACTGACTTTAATAATGTTACAACTAACGCAGGTGCTACAAAGAAACCAAGCGAAGCCAGCTGCTGCCAATGTTTAACTGAAGTATTATTTTATCACTGCTGGCTCATACAGATCATTATGTGTGGTCAGGTTGAATAGTTCATGAACAAACGTCAAGGAGTTTTCGCAGTCAGTCTTAACTGATACATTAGATACTTTGGCACTTTTAATATCTCTATGAAAGACAATGTATTGTATGTTTCAACTTACAGAAATACTTAACTTAATATATAGATAGTGTACATGCAGATCATTTGTACTTACAAAGTCTTTGCCTCTGTATGTTTCATGTCAGTTTAAGTGACATGTGATGCCACATTTTGTCTTACTTTGCATGTAGACTAATTCCTTGTGTCTATTGACATCCTTGTTTAGTATTTAGTTTTGCGAATCTTAGCTCACTTTTTCAGGAAATTGTACTTTAAAACTATCAACAGTCTTTAACAACCAGTGGTGACTGCAGGCAACAACAAACACTTCACTGACACCAGCAAAAGAGGGAATGCTCAGAGTTGGCTGTAATTATAGTTTATACATATAGTGGATTTAATAAGGTTCTAATGTGGTGACTTTGCTGTGTTACAGTTTTAACCTGCTCAGCATTATGTGCACATGAAAAGATGCTGCTTTTATAAAAATATTGATAACATCACAATTTAAGACTTGCGTTTTTCTTTCTTTAATTTGGTCTTCTTTGTTTGATTGTTTTCCATTTGATATTAATAGGGACCAAGTATGTCTGAAACAGAAGTATTAAAAAAAAAAAGACCCATGTAAGTTAATGCAGAAAACAACTATTTTCACTTGCTCCATTGGATTTATTAATGCTTTACAAAGAGTTAACATATACATGATAAGGTGTCCCCTTTTGAGAATTTAATCTAGTCATTCTTCTATTTCATATTCATGAGGTCAAAATAAGAAATGATTGTTTCATTTATAATTGAAAGTAAGTCCTCTATTAATGAATGCTCTGTTATGAGTGACTGGTTTTTGATAAATTCAAAATAATATAATTCCATAATATCTGACGTGTTAAAAACTCACATAAAATGCTTCTATTTGGACTTTTACAGCTTCTTTAGATATGTCATGTAATTGTTGGAAATGGCTAACTTATTGTTTCTATTTTAAAGTATTTCAAGAGTACTCTTGGATAAAATGCTTCGGAAAATTTTGGAAATTAATTTTGAATCAGACTAAATCAGATTCATGTGCAACTGTAGCCCAAAATATACCTGTTTCATACTTAAAGTCTCTTTAGGGTGGTAGTTGTTGAAGTTTTTGTCGTGGGGATATATTTCTTTTTTTTTACTTTAGTCAATTGGTCACGTGTATGACTTTCAGACAACTCGTCCATGCAGATATTTCCATATGTTTATTCAGTAATCCATGAAAGGACACCTGAGCACAAACTCCTTGTCTGTCCTTACCAAGATAGTTTTTCTGAATACTGCTACCCATTTTCAACTGTTAGTTAGAAGATTTGATGGTCTCACATGCTTTTAGTCGTTCGCATAATTTTTATTTGCTTTATAGCTAAATCTAAATCACATGGTTCTAATGTCCGTCAGTACGTGTGTGTGTGTGTGTGTGTTTAGTAGGAAAACATTCAACCAAAAATATGATCAACTTCGTTCATCGAGAGAAATACCGACAACTAATGCTAAAACGATCCTTTGCGTCTCGCGTTATACATTTGCTTTTATTGTTAATATTTTTGACAGGAACACAAAAGGGTGAAGACGCTTCCTTCTCTGAGCCAATAGCATCGAGGCAGGTTTAAAGGCGTCGACGGCACGCGGTGGCTCCTCACTTCCTGGTTGAAGATGGCGGATGAGAATGAGACAGCACCGTTGCCGGAGAAAGAAGATGTAGAGGACCACGGGCACTGTAGCGACTGTGAAAATGAAGAGCACCAATTTGACGATGGGTAAGATGTCAACAATTGTTCGTGTGCTCGCTCAAAATGAGTCCCAATGCCTGACGGTTTACGAAACCATATGCTAACCGAGGACGAAGACTTGAAGGCAGGCAGCTATAGACGGTACTCGTCCAGCCCACTTGCTTTATTCCTATTGGCTATAAACGGTGTCTGCGTCCGGGTTCTTCGATCTGATTGGCTAAGTGTGCGTTCTTATAATGTAGGCGGGGCTTAAGAACGAATCCTACAGCTAAGTTAGCAAGGGGTAGATTGGGTGTAGAAGGAAAAATAAGTCCGATTATAAATTAAGCGTTTGTGAAAAAGCAGTATTTATGCTGCTCTTGCAATTTAAAGGAAACTATATTAATTCCATGGTTGGCATTTTTAATAAACCATGGGCATTCCCATGTGGACTGCATTAGGCTGATCAACACTAACTGACAGTTAGCGAGTTAGCTTGCATGCTAACTTAGCTGTCAAACCCCTTTTGTCTGAGACTGGTTACGGTGCCAAATGAAAAGTGAAACAAGCGAAATAATCCCGTTATCCAAGATGCATATCGTACATTTAATTAGTCTCTGTTGTCGTTGTCGATCAAAGAGTTTTAGGAGTTTTTCATTTCCACTTTTATCACAGAAATATGTAAGATCCAGAAGCCACCTAGCTCTAAGGAGGTTTACTGAAAATAGGCTTTGATACAAATCCTGTTTTGCTTGGCATTTGCCTCACATGAGAGGAGCCCAAACGTGCGAGAGGCAAGGCCTATTATCACAGCTAATATCTTTCTATTAATCTGAATCATGAAACCCATCTTTTTACCTGGACTTCCATTTTGTAAGTCATACATTTGCAAAGTCATTTGTTGAACTGATTAATTTGAAGCGTTTGAGTTTAGAATAAGTGGAAATTTCTTAAACATTTATTTGGCTGGAATGGTATTACCATTGTCCAGGAAATGTGTTGACCGTGTTTAAATGCAGGGAAGCAGATAAATGTTTCCCTTAGCTGCCTATGCAGTGATCCCTTCACCCTACACAGGAACAAAGAGTGGCTCGGGCTGTTAGCTGCTCTACTCCGTTGACATGGAAGCCTGGAGAACAAACTATTCATTGCTTTGTTTTCCATTGTCCTAGTCACTCACTGACCCCCTTGTACATGCATATGTACACAAGCATAGATACCACATGCTCATCTTCCAATGGTCATGTGAGTCACCATCTGCACTAGGGTTACAAATGCAGGGCAAATGCTGGCCTCTCTCCCCTCTCGGACACTAATGAGATTATCCTCTGTAAGTATGCTGTCATTCTCAAGATATATGGGAGGAGGTGTGTGGCTTCTTAAGTTTAGACTCCTCAAAAAATGGTTTAGGCAGACTCTTAAGATGGAATGGAAGGCACACAGCATTTAATATGTCCTGATTGACAAGGGTGGTTGTTTCCTCACCTGCTCAAGGGCGACGCCAAACACTGTTCTTTTGAATGAACATATGTTATAGTCCATCTGGTGTCGAGGATTGGAATGCAAAGTATTTAAAAGATTTGAGTTTGAGCAAGAAAGAAAAAAACATAAATCCTAATCAGAAACAAGTTGTTTTTATAAATGTTTTACTTTGTACATTTGCACACGAAAACACCACACGTTAGATTTCCAAACTTGTAGCCTAACAATATGTGGTTGGGTTATTCAAAAACATAAAGATTAGTTTCTCCTCCTGAAATGGGACAGTTTTTTTTCAGTACAGTCTATGCTAATCAACATGGTTTTTATTTAGAAACCAAAACTGTGTCGGCATGCTGCTAATCATCCTGACTTGTGTTTTAAGCAACATTTTTGCCAGATATCTTAACGGCATGTTGATTTCCACTGGGATGGATGTTTGAAAATCTAATTCTGTCTTTTTCTAGTGACAGAGGTCTGGGTGATGAAACTGGCGCCAAGAAGAAGAAAAAGAAGCAGAAAAAGAAAAAGAAATCTGGTGCCCCAGAAGCAGCTCAGGACCCACTTGCCAAGGCATGAAAGAATTCAGTTTTGAAATGACAAATTTTTACACTAAAGGTCAGACAATAAAAGCTAAATAAGTGGAGTTTTGGTGTCTTTTATCATTAGCACCGTCAACTTTATTACTGCAGAGTTGTGTCAGGACTGAAAGTTTAATCTGTTTTACCCACCCAACTAAAACTTTTTGGACAGATTTGATTCAACTTGTTTTTTGTCTGTAACTTCTCACATAGGTGAATTCTTTGCCAGCTGATAAGCTACAGGAGATCCAGAAGGCTATTGAACTCTTTTCAGTTGGCCAAGGTCCAGCCAAAACCATGGAAGAGGCGAGTCGGAGGAGCTACCAGTTCTGGGACACACAACCTGTGCCCAAGCTGGGTACGATAAACGCCCCTGCTTTCGGTTTTCCTCTAGAATTCGGAATCCACAGATGAGTGGCACACTCATACAGAGTTTGTATTTTATGTTTGTGTTCTTCAGGCGAGACGGTGACATCACATGGCTCAATTGAACCTGACAAAGACCAAATCAGAGAGGAGCCTTACAGCCTCCCACAGGGCTTCAGCTGGGACACCCTGGACCTGGGGGACTCTGCCGTGGTACGAAATGCCTGAATCTTACCACCAGCAAGTATTAAAATGAAAAATAACCTGTCAGTAATTAGATCAGTGCTCTTCTTTTTAGTTTAGAGAATATTCTTCATATGAATTTATTTGATCTTATCTTAGTTTTTTTGTTCTAAGCATGAGAGGTGGATATAAAGGATGGTAATCCTTGATCCCCTGTTATTCTTAAACATATATAAATAAGGTTTTTAATTGCAGGTCTAAGAATGTGTCAAAATATTTAAAGTAGGAATGGAAGAATAATTAGCATGAAGTGGTGTAGAATATATTAGACCTAACATTCACTGTGCTGTTTCTGTTTTCTGTTGATGCTTAAATGTTTTTTTACATGTTATATAAACGCTCTCTTTTTTGGTTTTTAAACCATTCTGACTTTTTAAGGTCATGATATTGGCCTCTAATCCTATTTATTTTCCCCCCCTTCCTTAAATAGCTCAAGGAGCTTTACACTCTTCTCAATGAGAACTATGTGGAAGATGACGACAACATGTTCAGATTTGACTACTCCCCTGAGTTCCTGCTCTGGTAAATTTACAGAATTTAAAGATTAAATTTTTATGCAAAGTTGAAATTGAAAAGCCTGTAATTACGTTCCTAATAAAATAAAATAAAACGTTAGACTAGGTTATGTAAGGACTGACGTTTCTTTAATTTTTCAGGGCCCTGCGGCCTCCCGGCTGGCTGCCTCAGTGGCACTGTGGAGTGAGGGTGAACTCCAACCAGAAGCTGGTGGGGTTCATCAGTGCCATTCCAGCCACCATCCGCATCTATGACGTGTAAGTTTACCCAGCGGAGCCGACGTCACCCTGAACTTAAGCCAGTGGGATGGCGTTCTTTAGGAAGATTGATAGATTTTATCGAACTTAACATATGGATTTACCCGAATCTTTAGTTTGCCTGTTAAAACGCTGAATGTGCTAATTTAAAGTTTTTTTTCATTATGATTTTTTCTTTTTTATTGATTTATTTAGAGAAAAGAAAATGGTTGAGATCAACTTCCTCTGCGTTCACAAAAAGCTTCGTGCCAAGCGGGTAGCTCCAGTTCTGATCAGAGAGATTACCAGACGTGTCAACCTGCAGGGCATCTTCCAGGCCGTGTACACTGCCGGTGTGGTGCTGCCCAAACCTGTGGGAACATGCAGGTTGGTCAAATGGAAAAAGGCTCTTTCTGTTTGTTTTTTTCCTGTTTCACAGCCTGAGGGTCACTGGCTGACGTCTCGCCTTTGCAGGTACTGGCACCGCTCTCTGAACCCACGAAAGTTAATCGAGGTGAAGTTCTCTCACCTGAGCAGGAACATGACTATGCAGCGCACCATGAAACTGTACCGCCTGCCTGAGGTTTGTCGACACGGACACAGATTTCCAGCCAGTTTAAAAACACGATCTGCTCCTCCATCACGCTGCCGTCTTCTCCTCTTCAGGCCCCAAAGACTTCTGGTCTGCGACCGATGACGAAGAAGGATGTGCCGGTGGTGCATCGCCTCCTCCGCGAGTACCTGAGTCAGTTCAACCTGGTGCCTGTCATGAACCAGGAGGAAGTGGAGCACTGGCTGTTGCCCCGGGAGAACATCATCGACACTTACCTGGTTGAGGTGAGGACTATTCCTCAGTGTGGGCCCAGATTGGAGACTTTGTTGCGATCTTCCATGTGTTCATACTTTAAAATGGTGGTTTTATTTATTTATTTATTTTGCTCTCTGACAGAATGCAGGTAAAGTGACGGACTTCCTCAGTTTCTATACACTGCCATCTACCATTATGAATCACCCCGTGCACCGCAGTCTAAAGGCAGCTTACTCCTTCTACAACGTGCACACCACCACCCCCCTGCTCGACCTGATGTCTGACGCCCTCATCATGGCCAAATCTGTACGTTTTCCCCATTTAAAAACGGAACACGCTCTTTCTGAAATGTTCACACACAGACAACTGATGGGGATATGTTTAGAAATGTTTGTTTTTTTCTAAATTTCTTTACAGAAAGGGTTTGATGTCTTTAATGCACTGGATCTAATGGAAAACAAGACTTTCTTGGAGAAGCTGAAGTTTGGCATCGGTGATGGAAATCTACAGTATTATCTGTACAATTGGAAGTGTCCCAGCATGGGGTCAGAAAAGGTACGTCAATGTCGAGATTTCTGTTAAAACTCGAATTGTGGGTCACTTTGTGCTCGGAAGCATTGCATTATATTTTTATCCTATCACCAGCTTGTAATTGATGTTTAAAAAAAAAAGGACTTCTGTCCCTGCAGAAACTCCTGCTAACTTAGTGTCCCAAAGCTTATTTTTTGTGTCTGCCTTCTCTCTCAGGTTGGGTTGGTGCTGCAGTGACAGCCCTTTTAATGCCATAAGCACGTGTCACCACCAGGCCAGGAGACCGCACCGTGGACTGATGACTTCCTGCTGTAGGAGAGGAAACACACCGCCCATTTTTACTTTCTGACCTTTCGAACTTTGACCTGCACTACAGCTGCCAGGGAGGGAGGCGGGAGAGGCCTCGGCTCCTCCCCCCGCCTCCCTCAATCACGTGGACCTTAAGCCATTGTAGTTACCATCTCAAGCAACTGCATTTCATCTGAACGCTGCCTCGACTGTATCAAACGTGCATACACACAATAGCAGTTTGCACAGATTACTCCAAATGCTCGCTGTTGGTCTCTTACCTGCAAACTACAGAACGTGTAAATAATGTCAGACCTAATGCGGATTCTGCCCTAACACGTGCAGACTAGAACCTACTGTTTTATTTTATTCATTCATGTTGGAAGTGATTTTTTTGCAATTAAAATAAAAATGGTCATTCTTAAGTTTTAGAGAAAAAGAATAAAAACGAGCAAAAAATATTTCAAAGAGTGAAGACGCTCAAAGGAATGAGGTAATAAATACCAAAAGTGAACAGAGGGTAAGGGCTTTATGTAAGGAGTTTCTTGTTATGCTTGTATCCTCCCCCCACCTCCAAAGTCCCTCTTTGATCCAGCTGTCATGGAGGTGATTCAACTGCCTGAAGTTAATGCCAGAGTTGACATCCACCCTCTTCAGCTCCACTCATCTGCATTAACTTTGAGGACCCCCACCCCCCCCTAACTTCAGCTAACTGCACTAACAAACCAAACCCTCAATCACAGACTAATGGATCAGCTCAGTTGGAGGCAAAAGTCAATCATTATCGATCAGAACGAACTGTTTCAGAGAGGCGGAGGGCATTCTGAGAGTTTGTTCAACACGTCTGTCAGCAGGGATGAAATTTAAGGTGCCTCGTGGCTTAAATGTGCCCGGTTGCAACATCCACCGTTCCGATGCCACGGACTCTGACATGTGCTCAAAGAAAACCTGATGGGTGTTGGAACATTGTAAAGAAACTGAAAATCCCAATTTTCTGAGCTTATCATTGGAGATGAGGAATAAAAAGACTGAAATTGTATTTACTAAATGCAACTAACTACAATAATAAGAAAGAAGCCGCTTGTTTGCATGCACATCATGCTGATTTTTTTTTTCACAGAGAAAATGCGTTTTACCTGCATTATTTAGGACATAACAAATGAGCACTCTGTAGGATCACGCAGGCTGTCAGACAAAGTGGGAGAGGTTTCACGGTGGATGTTGGAGTTGGGCCCATGAGCGGCAGTCTGGACTTGCAAACGTGCAGGTTGGGTGATGATGACTGGGGAGAAAACCCCAATTAAAGTGTTTCTTATGTAAAATGGTTCAGTTTTCGAACTGTTTTTTTTTTCTTAAGGAGAAAAAGTGGTTTTTATGGTGTTATGATGCAGGAAATGAATGTCAAGATGCAGGTGTTTGTTTTTTTGAGAAAAAAAATAAATGAAATCTAGAATTTACTGTGAGGCTTTTGTAAATGTTGGTCAGAAATAGTTTTCTATCTAGATCAAATATGTTTGTGTCATGGAGGAAACATGTCAAACTACTAAAAAGCAATCTTAACTTTGACATTCTCCAGATTTCACATTTCAGGGGAGTTTTTAGTTACAGAATGAGAAGAAAAACAAATACAAACCCTCAGTCTTAAGTATTATAATATTTTGTACTTGACCATATTATATTTCTGATGATCATCTCTGTCACAAAGCAGCTGACTCAAGTACATTAATTTCCCCCTTATCAGTCGGCTTTAAAAGGATATAAATGCAGAAATAGAGCATTAAAAACATGACTTTTGGAAGACATGCAGCTTACAGCTAAACATTAGATTTAATCTATACAAAGCAAAGTTAATGTGTGGTCTATGTTGGTAAACCAAAGTTATATGTCAGTACTTAAAAGTTTACACAACATAAAAATATTTATCTAGGAAAAAGGGCATAAAATAGGACATTTTTGTAAATATGTAAAGTCCCTGGTATAACGATGTATAACAAAATATTTAGAAAAAACAGTTGATACAGCTGATGTTTTCTTCATCTCAGTTTTATTTATCTTATGTGCTAAGAAGAGGGTGACATCAGCTCAATTCAGACAAATGCCTCACACGTAGTGAGGAAAATGTGTTCAGTGCTGCTCATATGAATTATTTAGGTTTTAGTTACAATGCAGTGTGCATTCATAAACACAAATTACGTTTTTAACGGAGGTCAACGATAGTTGTGAAACAGCAGAGATTTCCTTGATGACTTCTCAACAGGACATTGCACCCACAGTAAAGTTCACGCTAATTGGTCAGACCTGCATGACGCTATTTTACCCCAAAGTCTGTGATTGGTCACTTTTATGTCCTGTCATTTACGTGGGCGGGTTTTGAGTGAACCCAATCAGGAAATAAACTTTCGAGCTGACAGGGTCGTAACTCCGCACAGGGAGGCTAAAGTGGCACAATGTGGGTTATTGTGCTTATTAGTTGTGTAGCTTTAATCACAGTTATATTGAAATATGTCTTCTTCAGCTCCGGGCCTGACCCCTTTGAAAAGGACAGTCGCGAACCGCTTAAACCGATGGTTCATGACAAAAAGGAGCTAAATAAAGTCCTGAAGCAGGGTAAGTTCAGGGGCAATATCGTGAAATGACATTTGAATCTTTATCTATTCAGAATTGCTCTTAGCAATAGTGTTACGCTGGTAAATGGACAGATTTGTTTAAAATGGCAGTTTAAAGTGAAACGCAGTGAGGGCTCAGCAGACCGGTTTTCAGGAATTATTCTAGTATATACATTTCTGAAATGTATGAAAAGCAGTTATAAAGAATTGCTTGCATTGATTACAGAACAAAACAGCTCAGAAACCCAAATGATCCTTCATAAAATGACAAGAAACAGAGCAAAATACATTTTTACAAAGTACATTTTTATATGTGCAGGAAACATTATCAATCCATTGTGCAAAGATCATTATCATGCAGTGAATAATCAAATAAAATGTAAAAATGTGTTGGTTTGCTATTGGAATATTAAAATATTTTCTTGTAATATTTATTCTGTTTTGTAATTCTTTTTATCCTACAACCAAATTGTATTTATTTATTAATTTCAATGTCTTTACTGTAGGTTTCTTGGCCAGTAAGGTTCCAGAAAACCTGGATGCAATAGTCATCGGCAGTGGTATTGGCGGACTTGGGGTTGCTGTGCTGTTGGCTAAAGTTGGAAAAAAAGTCCTGGTTCTGGAGCAGCATGATCGGGCTGGAGGATGCTGCCACACGTTTACTGAGAAGGGCTTTGAGTTTGATGTTGGTGAGATGAGCGACCTTTTTTCTGCCTAGGATGTCTTAAAACGACGTGTTTCATGTTAGGATCACTTATAATTTGTTTCATTTTCTTAACCTTAATTTAAATGGAGGTGATTTGCACATTAAATCAAAGCTTTGCCATTGTATTTTTAAGTCTTGGTCTTGCATGACTCTTAAATCACAGGAATCCACTACATCGGTGACCTGTTGGATCACAAGCCTTTCCGCTGCATGCTGGACCAGATGACTAATGGACAGCTGCAGTGGGAGCCCCTGGAGAACCCGTTTGACCAGGTTCTGCTGGGACCTCCAGAAAACCGCCGCCGCTACCCCATCTACAGCGGCAGGAATCGCTTCCCCGAGGAGCTGAAGAAGTGTTTCCCTGGAGAGGAGAAGGCCATCGACGAGTACATGAGGCTTGCCAAGGTAGCGTTGAGTGTTTTTCATCCTATTTATTTAGTAGTGGTTCAGGTTCGGGCCATAAAGAATTTGATCGAACACTTATTATTCCAGTGTGCAGATGCCTTTCTGTTCAAATGAACGTTGAGTTTGGAAGCTGCCCTTTGGTCCAGATAAAAACTTCATTATCGAGACATCAGCTGATGTTGTCAAATCACAACCAAAGGTCAAATAACTGGCCAGGACTCTTATTAACTGGTCCGTTACACAACGAGAGTAGGGAACAGTGTATTCACCAGATAAACTTTCTTTTTCTGCGTCAGTGCATTTGATTTATTATTGATTTATTATTTCAGTTACCAGCTCATAGTGTTTTTTCAAAAATGAATTGGTGCTGGTAAAATCAATAAAACAAAATGATAAATAGATTGAATAGATAGTTTATCCGAAGTGATTTAAAAACTTTTGCAAACCTTCAATGAAACATCATAAGAAATACATCAGCAGACCAAAACAACAGGCTCCACTGAGCTGAAGGAGCCAGGATCACTAACAGAGCTACTTTTGTTGTGTCTGGGTGCTGTTGCCCGCCTGCTGTGACCCTCGTGTGTGTGATTGGTCTTCAGAAAACCGGCCGAGGCATTTGGTTCCTTGCCCTGCTGAAGCTCTGCCCTGTGCCCTTGGCCAAATTCCTGATCTACACCGGCCTCGTGAAGCATCTGTCTTTCTTCTTCAAAATGGCGTCGCGCAGCCTGACAGATGTGGTCAATGAGCTGACTGAGAACAAGGACCTCAGAGCTGTCTTCACCTACATCTTTGGCACTTATGGTAGACCCGACTGCGTCTGTACTCAGTTAGCGGAATCATATTTTTATTCTTTATTATGCTCACAGTTCTTGTTTCCATCTGCAGGAAACATGCCAAAAGACGCCAGCTTTGCCATGCACAGTTTGTTGGTCACTCACTACCTGAATGGTGCCTGGTACCCTAAGGGTGGGGCCGCTCAAATTGCCTACCATATGATTCCCATCATTGAGAAGGCCGGGGGGGCCGTTCTGGTTCGGGCCCCGGTCAACCGCATCCTGTTCAACAGTGCCAAGGAGGCGTATGGTGGGACAGCTTTCCTGGCTTTATGGCACTGGGCTGAGACCCACGGCGGAGACACATTCACAGCTTTTGCTTTTATGCTTTCAGGTGTCAGCGTGCTGAAAGGTCAGGAGGAAATACACGTCCATGCTCCCATGGTCATCTCTAATGCCGGGATCTTCAACACTTATGAGAGCCTGCTGCCCAAAGAGCTCCAGGCCCTGCCAGGTTAGAGGAGATGGATTTCTTTTCATAAGCATTTATGACAGGAAAGTGCCAAATGATCACAGCTGAGAATGGAAGTTGTGACTACAGTATTTTTGATGGGACTAATCAATGACAAAAATGAGATTTTTAAATTATTATTTTTTATTTAAATGATGAATACTGGAACTCAACCTGCACAAGGTTAGTTTTAATGCTGGTTCAGATTGAACTGTGTGATTGTGAGCTGTGACTCTCCTGTCTGGCAGATATCCAGAATCAGCTCAGCATGGTGAAGCATGGTGAGGGTGGCCTGAGTATTTTCATAGGTCTGAATGGATCCAAGGAGGAGCTGGGCCTGAAAGCAGACAACTACTGGATATTTACTGAGAACAATTATGACGAATTGTAGGTTGCTTTATTTTATTCTTGCAAGAGTTGCAACAATAATGATCTTCTTTTTCATTTTTGCCCTCTTTGCAAATTCATCAGAATCGCCTGCTTTCTTTAAAGGGTGGAGAAATACATGAATGGAGAGAGGGAGGAGTCTTCCAGGAAAATACCTCTGCTGTTTGTTGCCTCTCCGTCGGCTAAAGATCCGACCTGGGAGCAGAGATCACCCGGTACGGACGCAGGAGACTGGGGAAGAGCCTGAGAACGCACATTGTTCTGGGCCCATCGGTCCTGTGGAGCAGAGTGTTTTCTCAGCTGTGTCTTTTGTTGTTCTTCACACCAGGAAAGTCTACTTTAAGTCTGGTCAGCTTTGCCAACTATGCCTGGTTTGAGGAGTGGAAGGACGGCAAAGTGACGAACAGAGGGCCCGACTACAAAGATCTGAAGCAGGGCTTTATTGATTCTGCTCTCGAGGTGGTTCTGGACGCATTCCCGAAGATCACCAGAGACAAGGTGAATTATTTGGAGTGTTGGTCTTCTACCTTGGTGGCCCCCTCTAATAAAATCTGCCTGCACCAGAGTTTACAATAGAAACCTTTAATTGAATTCAGTTTTTCTTCATGCAAATGATTGTGTGTCCTGTTTTATCCTGGGCATTTCCATTTAAACATCTACACTATTGGGTTGTGGTTAAAAAATCTTTCTAAAGGCAATAAGTCTATGACTTGAAAATGAGCCCGTCACAAGGATGATTACTGAAGCATTAGACTAGAGAAAATTACAGCCAATGGAAGGCAATGTTGTGTTGTGAGAAGCAACGGAGGATGAAATTGGACAGAAATGTGTATGGAAATCCTGTGAAATATGAGCTGAAACTTTTAATCCTTCATAACTACTGAAACGTAGAGGCCACTGTTATGAAATATGACACTTGAAAGAATCCTTTCAATGACTCCCCACCCCCTGCCGTTAATGTGGCGAGCCGACCTGCATCTAATTAAATGTCAAATTCACTCAGACTGGAATTTCACTTCAACCTAGAAAGACCAAACAACCATCCAAAGGAAAACATCAGTCCAAGTAAAAGAAAAGCAGTCACTGTGAGGCACATTACACCATCTTAAGTCAGGGAGGTCATCGGTCATACATGGATTATCATGTCTTTATTGGTGCTATGTGGTCTGTACTTCATTGTTATTGTTATAACACAAATGGAGAGTCTGAAAGAAATGACTAAAATACACCCAGAACTTTAACAGATCAATAGGTATATATTAAATGTTGTTATTTAGTTATTATCTCTGAATTTCAAGTGCAAAATTACACAAATGGAGTAGTTTTCTTGCTCTAATGGTGCGTCTGCTGCTTTTCTCAGTCATTCATCAAAATGAAAAACTGAGCATGTATTGATAATATCTCATTATTCACTTTATTTATGATAAAACAAATATATTTTTCACATTATTCATAATGCTTGTTCCTCCGTTTTGTGCAGATTGAATACATCGACGCGGGCACCCCCATCACTAACACTCACTATATCGGCGCCCCCAAAGGGGAGATCTACGGAATCGACCACGGCGTGGCTCGGTTCAGCCCCGAGCTCAGCTCTACAATCAGACCTCAGACTCCGCTGAAGAACCTCTACCTGACAGGTGCGTCCGTCTGTGCATCCTGCCACAACCGGCAGCGTTTAGGATCTGCTCTCGTCTCACTCTGCGTTCTTGCTTTCTCAGGCCAGGACGTGTTCTTGTGCGGTTTCGCCGGAGCCCTGGCCGGAGCCCTCACCTGTGGATCGGTCATCCTCAACCGCAACCTCCATCTGGACGCCATCGCCCTGGCAAAGAGGACTAAACACCTTAACAACAAACTGAAAGGGGAATAATCTTAGATCAGGGAATGAGACGTATGGTGCAACACTACAGCTGGCAGCCATAGTGGCTGTTTACTCTGGACACACACACGTCTCCAGACTGCACTGGTTTGGTTAAACTAAAGTAATATGACTCACAATGGGAACGTGTCATTAATAATGCCATCCAGCTTTTGCTTCTCTAAATGCACTCACATAGACCTAACTTCACTCAAAAGCGTTTGAGGTTGTTTGATTTTCGGTGTGGCATTTGTTTAATGTTTTATACTTCACCCTGTTGCCTTTTGGTTGCAAACAATAAACTGGTTGTAACTTTCTCTTTGAAGTGTCCCGTTTGTTTTTTAAACACAAAACTCATTTCTGACTTTGCTGTTTTGGGTTTGACATCCAAGTCTGAAGGACGACAGTGGAGAATACAATACTGATCTGACAACACTTTTTAAAGTATTTTTTTTGCTAAATGCTCTTAAACCATTCTACTTAAACTATGGCATTATCATACAGCAATGTAAGACACCATGCCTTTATATGGACATTGAAAGCAGCAGGAAGCACGAGTTGGTTCGGTAAAATGTGGATTGTTAGCTTTCTGATTAGTTGTCGGACAAAAGGGGTGTGATTTTTGGCAGAAATGAGTTATTTTGGCGACAGTTATGCAGGGTCATTTTCCGGCCGCTGGGGGACGTTGTCGAATGAGCGCCGAACAGTGTGAGGTAAAGAAAAAACAACCATTTATGTCAACAAGCAGGAAGCTAAACGCTCATTAGTGGGAGAAAAACATTTTATTCCAGGTGTTTTGTGGCCTCGTTGAGTGTGTGAATTAACATCCCGGTAGTTAACTTGAAAAATCCGTTTCTTTGGAGAGCCTCGGCAGCTAGCTAACTGCTCACAGCTAAAGCCAGGATAAAAAAAAAAAAGCCACATTCCTGACGGCTGTCACGGTAAAGGGGATTTTCTTACGTAAAGTTTAGGGAAATTAAAGCTGAATCGGGAGGACGATGAACGTGTTTGCCAAACATTTGAGTTACGAGCTCCTGGCAGAGGTCGGACAAGGCTCCTTCGGGAAAGTGTACAAAGCCCGACAGGTGGGCGACGAACAGCGCCTCCTGGCGGTGAAGAAGTTCAACTTTCGCTGGGACGCGCCGGAGATGGGAATCCCTCCCTTCATGATCCGAGAGGTGGCGCTGCTGCGCAAGATGGGCTACTTCAACCATCCCAACATAGTCAAGTGAGTTTGTGTCTGGTTCATCCAAATAAACTGAATGTACTGTTTACATGTTACACTGTAAATCGCTTTTATTTTAGCGCAAATACCCTCTCGGAGGGACGCATTTCTCATTTGCAGTTATTTAAAGAAGTAACTATCATTTTTCAGGTTATCCACACAGTATAGTTATTAGTGGAGACACTCATCCACCTATTGGGTTTATGGAGAATGGACGACAATATGAAAGCATGGTGGCGGTGCTGTAATGGTGTGGGGGATATTTTCTCTGAGGAATGTTTGCGATACTTATGCTACCAAAAAGCAAGTTCTGAAGGCAAAAGAAGTCCAAACAATGTACAGACGTTAACACATCTGTAATAAAACATCTCTGTACATACTTACCTCTAACTTTTGGTGTGTGTGGCTCTAGATTTCTTACTGGACATTTCCTTCCATATTATTCCCCACTGTGTCCCATATGCTCGGCAGACTTTTGGATGCGTCCGCTGTACCCGTGGGCTCCACCCTGGACCTCACTCTGGTGTTGGAATACATCGACCAGGACCTGTCCACTTACCTCTCAAAGGTTCCTCCTGCGGGACTTGGCCGTGACCAGATAAAGGTATAATCTCATCACCGGTCTTTACCTGAATGTCCCAAACGGATGGGTAGCCGCTGCCTCGCTGCTTCCAGGACGTGATGCTGCAGCTGCTGCAGGGCCTGGACTTCTTGCACACCAACCTGGTGCTGCACCGCGACCTGAAACCGGAGAACGTCCTGGTCAGCAGCCAAGGGGAGATCAAGATAGCCGACTTTGGACTGGCTCGGATGCACGCCTTCAATATCGCTCTGACTCCAGGCGTAAGTGGGACACCTCACAGCTTTAGTCCTAACATAGTTTTTGTCTTGTCTGAGGCTGCCTGAGTAGTCTGCAGGCCTCATAGTTGCCCCCCCCCTGTCTGGGCTCAGGTGGTGACGCTGTGGTACCGGGCTCCGGAGGTGCTGCTGAACTCTGTTTACATGTCCTCTGTGGACATGTGGAGCGCTGGCTGCATCTTTGCCGAGCTCTTCCTCTTGAGGTGCGCAAAAAGGAGGGGACACTATACGAGTGTATTTATTTAGAGGTTGCTATAATAAGGAGTTTTGCTGTTTTTCTCCCGCAGGCCACTGTTTAAGGGATACACAGAGGTGCAGCAGCTGCAGAAGATCTTTGAGTGAGTCCCTCCCTGTGACCAAACAGCCTTAAAGTCGGACGTTTCTAGTGGTTAATTTTGGGCCGTATGGTGGTTCCTCTTTCTCCTCGTCAGGGTGATTGGTTTGCCCAGCAGGGAGGAATGGCCTCTGGACAGCCCCATCTCGTACTCGGAGAACTGGGGACCCAGAGGCTCCTGCACCGAGCTGCTGCCCAACCTGGACCCAGACGAGAACGACCTGCTGTCTGTAAGTCGATCTTTGAATATCTTTCCATGTCATTCTGCAAAGATTCTTATTTCAAATAGAGTCTCTGTCCAAATGTTTTCTTAAATCATTGATTTACAGAAGTAGCCCGTTAAGCTTTTGGAACTGTTACTAGTTTAGCAGCTATTAGACGTTAAAGTAGCTAACAGAACAAATTCAAATTATCATAAAGATGATGAATAGAAATAATGGATTTCAAGCCATTCATGGAGACAAATAGGGCGTTCGGAACAGAAAGTTAAGCTGTGACTGTCAAACTGTGTCCTTACCTGCAGCAGTGTTTGCTATTCAGCCCGAGCTGCCGGATCTCAGCTGTCAAAGCCCTGGATCATCCTTTCTTTGCAAAGAACTGATGACATTTGGTGGGATGAGGAGAGGAAGGAGGGAGGAAAACAGCTATCGCTGATCGGTGATTCTGCAAGCGACTGGTGTGCCGTAAAATCCACTGTGCACTTTGCCCAGAGCGTGGCTTGTTCGGTGTCACTAGCATCATGAGAAACTGCGGTCAGGAGGGAGATTTTGGAGCGTTTTTGGAGAAACAAGTTAAGCTGGACTTGGAGAACATGGTACTTAAACCACAAAAATGACAAATCCCAAAACTCAGAATCGTTTTGTGTACTCTGTTTTTTCATGTGTACATCTGGGTGGAGGAACAGTAGGTTGTTCTTTGAGTTGGGTTTCAGTTATATGTGAAAGAGTTCAGATTAAAGGTAGAGTTACTTTGTTGCTGAGAGTTTTTGGAGAAACGTAGGCTGTTCCACACGCTACGGACTAGCTATTATGCACACTTTTAAGTTGATGAGTTATATTGTTTCCGTTTTACTGAATATTTTCATCATTGGCTCACATGCATCAGTGGAAGTGCAAAGCTATTTTATATGATGTATTTTCTTTGATTTTTCTGAAGATATTTATGGTGCCATCAAAACAGATTGCACCTGTATTTATGTTTAAATTAACAGATTGCACATGATATTTTCTTCCGGAGTTACACTGTTTGTACCAGATGCATTTCTATAAATGTCTTTCACATCTGCCTGGGCTTTTTAATGAACCAGCTTTGGTTTTACCTGAAGTCATGAATGTGGAGTTCCGCTGCATGAAGGAAAGAGGGCGCTGTTGGTACACGGGTGGCAGTAGAAGGGCCAATCCTCACCCTGCGCCTGGCTGATCCCTCAGAGTCAGTGAAGAATGAACAATAAGCTCATGATGAAAAAAGAAACTACCTGGTAATTGGGCTGTGCCCTTTTTTTTAGCCTAGTGAACCACTCAAAGTGCTTTGACACTTCAAACAGCACTCAGCCATTCACACGAAACCTCAGGCTGCATCTCTGAGAGGAACGGTAACGGAACAACGCCCGTTCCAAACATTGGGACAGTTTGTCAAATATTTGCATCTGATGAGAATGTCATGATGTTCAGAGATGCTGTAGTTCACTGGCATCAACCTTAAAAAAAAGCTGAGATCCAGGTTTCCATGAGAGGAAGGCCTCACTTCCTCTTCTATTAGTTTATGAATATCTGTTAACCTATAGAGATGTCTCCAGTCTCTAGATTATCCATTTATAAAAACTAAATGACAAATTCTAAGTCTTCCCGCTCTATGTTGAAGAATGTTGCTCGGATTGGAGGCCAATTTATATCCAAATCTCACATTCATGTTTTTCATTAACTTTGCTCCTTTACTAGAGGCAAAACATTCCAGTGGTTTCTTTTTATCCATTATACACCTTATTTATTATGTTCCAGCCATCTTATAGAAGATGAGCAGGCATTTCTAAAGAAATCGTTCACTTTCAACTACTTCATTTGATGTTTTAGTAAAATTTAGATTTAAAAGAATTGCAAAGAAATATGTTTCAATTGATATACTTACTCTGTACATTAGATTTTGAGGAATTTGAGTTGCCACTTTTGGTACTTTGGGCATCACTTCCTCATTAGCTGGTGCTTTGGCTGATGCTCACAGCCAGTGAAGTCTGTCATGGAGGTTTCCAACGACGCGGAGCAGCCGTGCGTCTGACAGGCTGCTGCCAGCACGACAACAAAGCGGAAAAGCACCGATGGGTAAAGCTGACACTCTCTCGGTTGACTCTCCTGTACAGTAAAAGGGGGCGTCCCTCGGTTTCGGCCGGCTATTTATACTCTTTCCCCTTAATGCGGAGAGCCGTCCCCAGCTGCGACTGTGACTACATTTGGAGCGACTCGCGCCAGAGAAGGATCAGTGGGGAGGGACAGGCGGCCGGGGAAGGCGCGACGCACAGTGCGCGTAAGTACATGATCTGAACAGGCGTTTTAGTTGTTCATTCTGAAATTTGTGCTAGTAACAACCGAGTGGAAGTTCAGACACAGACTTTCTGTCGACCGAGTTCTTAACTCTTCACCTGGAGTCACCTGTTAAACCGCTCACCTGCTGGTGTGACCTGCTAAAGGTCGTGTGGTGTCCTGAACAGCACAGTGTGGTTAGTCTGATGCCACAATTATCACCAGGTTTGCTTCAATAATAACAAACGAAATAAACTGCAATGGTAACTAGAAGGCTCAAATGAATTGCGCTCGTTTTACGCACAATTTACGCACGAATGGATGTTCTTCAGTTATGCTGTTTCACCTGACGTATAAGTGTAAAACATAGAATTTAATTTGTTTTTGTTTTTTATTTAGTTAAATATAGATCTTTCTAGGTTTTTTACAGTTGAGAAAAACAAAAGAAACTCGAGTAGATCTTTGTTGGATGGTTATATTTGAAATCCAGACCTGTCTACTGTTAATGGACTCCATCCTACTGGAAGCTGATGAGTGGATTATTGCGTGTGCATGAGAAAGCTGCTCTTCCTGTCAGCTTTCGAACCACACGCCTCATGTGTAGACATAACTTGGAGGATTCACTGGTCTTCTGATCCCTGGACAAAGCAACCCAATGCCCCGTAAACCCACTCACGCTGATGATTTTATATGATAGCCTCTCTGTGGTGTCCAGGAAAATTCATGTGAGTATTTGTCTTTGGATTACTGAGACCCATTGGGGGGGCTTTTGTGCAGGTAGCTTAGCAGGGTGCATGTAATTGGCCGGAGGCTTATTCTTTGCCAGCCTTTTAATCTGGTTTACACTGCTACTGGTAGAAATGTAACTGTTATGCTTAATTTAAACATTTCCGAACTAAAACTTAGAAATGTTGCCAGTTGAGCAACTAATGGCTATTCAATAAATACAGGCCTGAAATGTAGTTTGTTGTTAGTTTGATTCCATTTTCTCAGTTCAATAATTCCAATTTGGTTACCTTTTTGGACCTTTTCCTTAAAGTGTTATGGCACTGTAAAAGTTAGCCTCAGTGGCATTCTCCCCTTCCAATCGAGAGTCCTCCGGCTCGTCATGTGACATTTCTGAAGGCAAAAGCGCAACCACGCTGTACTCTTTCACATATTTTCCAGGAAAAATCCAAATGTGGGTGGTGTCAGTGAGACTGGATGTTTTGCTCTCCCCGGTTTTGTATGTAAATGTGAGCTCTCATGCTCGAATTCAAGCTCTTTTTCTTTCTTATTGCTCAAAGCACGTGTAGATGTGTCGCATTGTGACAACAGGACTCCTTGAGCTGGTTGTCTCATGCAGGGATGACCGCATCCTCAGATTAGCTAATGGTTGTTCTTTGTGGAATGAATGATCTGGATAATCTGATTACATTCACAGGGCCAAGACAGTTCTTTAACCCTCGCTCAGATGGATTCATGTTCTGTTAGCACCCTCCATGTGTCTTCCCAGTGAAACTGATAAAGTCAACAGAGAAGCCGCATCTTTCTCTTTGTGGACTTTGCTGCCAACACTTCAATTCATTTCCACAGCACATCCATCTGGTGCACTAAGTCTGTGGCTCGCGTCTCTTTGTTCCGGCTCCATTGTGCTTCCTCTAGCAGGAATGCTGACATCCACGGTTTGGGAAAACACACAGTCACATATTCCAACTCACATTTATGTTTGGACATATTTGCGAGCCGCATCACGTCTCATTTTAGAGGCGGTTAGTTGCCTTTGTCGGATGCAAATTGTGCCACACTGGTGCTATTTATAAGTGGTTTATAGCTTTGGGCTGTCTTAGTGTTGTTGGCAACCATGTATTGCGCAGACACACATTATGTACCAAGCGGCAAAACTTAAAAAGCCTTGCTTGTATGTTTGCCTGTGTTGCCCGGGAACAGGATATTGCAAACGGTCATCACATTTGCTCATGCAAACGTCAAACCATTCCCAACTAAACACGTCCCATATTTTTTTTTACAGATAACATGCTCTTTCCTGGTTTTACAGTAGTGGAACGGATGTATGTATAGAAAAATGGGTTTAGCTCAAAACACTGGATTGAGAACTTCAGCAGGTCTGCAAGCTGTTTGCCATCAAGGCCCGAAGCCAAAGTGGAGCGGAGCTGTGGTGTTGAGTTTCAGTGCAAGGGGAGAGTCCCGCTTGGGGCTCCAGGCCAGTGCAGGTCACCTTACATCAGTCTGCGAACCAGAAGAAGAAAAGAAAAAAATGGTTCATGCAGCCTTTAAAGAAAGCTCCTCACAAGTGTTCTTAACCTTTGTACCATGTAGAAATAGACTGCAGTGATTATTTCTTTACTTTTGCAATAATATCAATTTATTTATTTATTTTTTGGGGGGTAATTTTGGTAAATAGCGATTTACTAAAGCAGTTTTCTCAATTATATGATGGAGTTGCTGTAAAAGAGCAATCTCACAGCATGTTGTTCTCATCATTATTCTTCTATGTTTTAACTCATTAGTCTCTGATTAGCAATCACTCTTAAAAAATGAGGTCAAACAAGCCTTCATGTTGTTCAGAGCTATCGTGGGACTGTTTTTCACCAAAGTGGGATAAACTCAAATTGATCATAGAAAATACAGACTCGTACTTTTTCAGCTGAATCCTCTAAAATGACAGAACCGCATATTTGGCCCGGGTGAATTAGGACGTTTAGTGAAAACATGACATTTTTTTTCACCTCACTGTCAGTTTCATATTTTTATAACAGCATAAACACAAATGTCACATTAACGTGTGTGAGAAAGCCTTCTGTGGCTCAAAGTTGAAAATATGTCACAGTTTGTCCACAGGAATAGATTCAGACTCAGTTTGGGCAAATGTTCACTCATAAGCTCACAGGTGATGAACATTTAGTAATCAACTCATTAACTCATCTCTTTCCAGCTGGTCAGCTAAAAAAGTTTCAGTGCTTTCAAATTGGCTAACCAAGGTTTTTTGTTGTAACATTTCAAAACTATTTTTCAGGGACATCCTTCCACTGAGGAGCAGACCTTATTTCCAACTCTGGCGTGGTGGAATCCATGAGCAAAACAAAGCCAGAAGTCCCCCGTTCTGATGGAATCTGATTTGCACTCCAAAAAAATCTGGCACCCCCGTTTTGCCATAGCTGAAAAGTGGAGGAGCAACACCGACAAAGCCTGATTTTTTTCTTCCCTCATGCCCCGCTGCAATCTGAGGCGCAGATAAGTAGTTTTTCTGAGAAACATGGATGCCATGGAGAACCCGGTCCTGGAGCCCAGGGCAGAGCGAATTGCCCGATACAAGGCGGAGAGGAGGCGAGAGCTGGCCGAACGCTTTGGCAGCATCGATGAGCTTCCCTCCAAGTGGGTGAGGAGGGACGGGAAGGAGACCCAGGAGCCACAGAACCGAAGTCACAGGGGAGAGGTGTTTACCTCTGAAGGCCCGAGTGCAGGAGTGAACGGCAGAACGCAGGAGGTGGCTAACGCTAACGGAGTGGAGAGGGAGTCCGACTACCTGAAAAGGTGAGCCATGTCTAGGGGGTGGTGGCCATAACCAGCAGCCAGTCACAACTCATTTGGATTTGGTTTCCTCCGTGTCATCCAGTGTGAAACGGACATCACATGACGCCTTATAATGGCCATCAGTAAAGTCCCACTATCACACTGCTGACAGCCTCATCTGTAGTGGGAACTAGCAGACAACCTCTTAAATACCATATGGATGTCCAAGGGATTCTCTTAGTTGTCTGGCCTGCTATAGGACACACTTAGGAATTGCATAACTCAGAAATGCAGCTATTGAGTCATGTTTCCATCCTAGAGGAACAATGATTTAAAGTAGATAACTGTGAGTCAAAGTTGTGAGAAAATAGGTTTTCTAGTTCATACTTTTAAATGGAGACCTTGGCTTTTTATTGCAGAAGGATTGTGAAGATCCAGTCTTTTTTACAAAAGGAGATATGGTGTGACAATAAGAATAATGATGGGGGAAATCAACATTAAAGCAGGCAAAGCCACTCCTGTAATAATAATTTAGAGAAATCTGTGACTGAGGGTAAGATGTTTTTTTTCAATTTTTTTTTTTATTCACAACAGATAATGACATAATACAGACCCTAACCCAACATGATGCTGAGGCACAGTTAGATCCCAGTGTGTGTCTGTATATCATCCTCCATTCGTTTGCAGAGGAGCAGGTGCTTTGGGCCTAATTTGTCCAACCACCAATAAAAACCACATTCCAGCCACATAACCCCCATGGCTCTGGTCACATGCTTCCAGCTTTTTCACCTTGACATGAGTCCAAGTTGTTGGTAACAACTTTTAAATAGATGAATGGATTGTTAGAACTTTGGCAACACAGGCGCAACATAATAATAATCTCCAATCAAATGACAGGACAGGGCAAATCAGGCATGTTGTTCAGATGTTTGAAACAGTTTAACTACCGTTTGATGGATGAATTAACTTGTTGACCAGCCTTCCGTTAAACATTGCTGCGTGCTTATTTGTTCATTATATTTTTTTGTCCTTGTTGGTGTTTGATTTGAACATAATTTTGTCTCGCTATATGCTCAGACTTCAGTTTTCCTCCAAATCTCTGCACAGGTATGTTCATTTTGTGTACATACAACCAGGTAGAGTTTTATTTTTTTTCAGTTTAACTGTCACCATTCAAACCATCTGCTGTCCATACTGGCAACCTCTCAGCAGCACTGGATCCTTGACTTCACCCTTTGCTCTGTGGCCTCTGTTGCTAATAAAAACGGTCTAAATCAGTGGATCTCAACAGGGACATTTAAAGCCTCTCTGATTCTTCTCTTGGACATTAGTGTCCTGGCGCAAACCTTTTTTTGGCATTACTAAAAAACAATAATAAGATTGCATCAACTATTAACCCGGTTAAAAGCGTTTCACCTTTTATCAGTGGAGCTGGAAGGTTCGCAGGTAGTTCTTTGTTTCTGGGAGTTCCCTTTTAGCCCGTGTTCTGCTCTCCTGCATCCTCACCTGCTCCCCCCCCCCATTCCTGCCCCCTCCAGGCAGGGTTGCCCAGACTCTGCCGGCACACTGGGTGGGGAGGGGCACGTCGTTGCTCTTGGACTCGACACCCCGCAGCTCCACACTCGGGTGTCGGTGGGCCAGCTGAGAAGCGCCCTGCTGCAGCAGGCGGAGAGCGGAGCGCAGCCCGACAGAGCGTAGGGTCACCTGCATGTGTGTGGGCTCCAGGCTGTTGCTTTCCGAGAAATATTCCCCCCCGGTCTCAGCGTCTTCTCCCCCTTCTCGTCCCTCCTGCTCTGTGTTTGTGGATGCCAGCAGTGCTGATGCGGGGCGAGCCACCTCCTCTCTGGACCTGGCCGTGAAGCCGGGCCCCGAAGGAGGCCGGCGGCGGACCCGCCGCTACCTCCCCGGGGGGTCAGGTGGTACACGCAAGACCAGCGAACGCTTCAGGACACAGCCAATCACAGCCAATGAGATGGAGGAGAGCAGCGGGTAGGGCCTCTGAGCACGGTGGCACAATGGACAGAGGATGTCTGGTGTGGTTAAAACCAAACAAAAGGCTGTTTGCAGTGGTGTGTTTGCAGTGTTTTTGAATAATTGCGCTGTTTCCTGAAACAAGGGACCCATTTCAATCTCACAGTTGGAGACACCAGTCGACTGCTGACCGCCTGATGCTGAATAACACTGAACTTTTGTGGTGCTTTTTTAAAAAAATCTTTCTTTTCACTCTGAAGTGCACTTTATATTTCATACTCCCACAAGAAACAAACGGTAACACTTTTTATCGTGTGCAGCAGCTTTACATAAAGGATGGTGTGGTTTGCATGAGCTCGTCGTCATGACTTCACAGTGGTGGTTTGTCCAGGATGCAAATGTGACACAGAAGCCTGTTTGATGCATAAGGACACGGGTTGTAAACGGGAAGCACGGTCTCGGAGAGAACACATAAGTGCCTAAGTTTAAAGTTTATGTCAGCCATGTGATACTTTATCTTCTGCCTTTAAAAATCTTCTAGGCTCATGGATGCAGAAGAGGAGGATAATAAGAAAGGTAAGTCTGACTCCTGCTTGTGTTTCTCATTATAAGCTCAGTTTGTTATACTGTGAGTTATACTGTTGCACTGAGGCCCTGAAAGGAAGAATGTCACAGAGGAACAATGAAGTCAACACAGTCAGAGTGATTGTAACAGGGAAATGTTAGATCTCATATCTAACAGATGCCAAGGGTGAAAGAAAGAGCACAAAGCCCAAAACTGCATATGCACCTAACTCGTTTCCTTCAAAACAACCACTTTCTGTGTTCCAGTTTGCGCACTGGCCGCCGTATTTTTATTCAGCAGCTCAGGAAATAAAACTTTTATTTGAGGCCCACAATCAGTGATGACAGATTTACGAGTGACAACCAACACAGGCTTGATACTAAGTCATTCTGACTCCTATGTGACCCCATCACTGCATAAAAATACAAGCATAGGCTTACTGAGAGTTTACACCACAGCTCAACAGAACGCAAAGCAACTTGCTTTTACCATTTAAACAGTCAATTTCAAGCAACTTGCAAATATTTCCATGGATGCTATCTATATTTTACAGTTTCTGTCTTTCTCTCACAGAGGATGTGAAAACAGACGACCGAGCCAAGATGAGCGTGGCAGCCAAGATGTCTTTGTTTAAAGTAAGTCTGCGTGAGCCTCTGCTCTGAGACACAAGCTTTGCCGTTGACATGGTCATTTTACTCACGATGAAGTAGTCGGTCACTAAATGTCGATGTGGGTCGGTGATAAGGTGCTCGGAAGAGAAAGCTCTCCTCGTCCACAGTTGACTCAGCTGCTCACCTTACAGGCAGTGAGTCAGCGCTGATCACGCAGAACTCTACCTGATCATGTGGGGAGAATATGGATGATCAAACAGGTGTTAGGCTTGAATTCATAGTTTAGTTCCCTAATGTGTTTGATATCGTCACAATAGATTACGTTTACGGTTTGACAAATGCACAGACCACTGCCCTCATGTCTCAGTTTCACACGGAGGATAAAACATTTCAACTCTTGAACGCTTTTAGCCCTAAAGAATCGGGTGAAAATGTGCCGGACACTGGAGTGCCATTAACAACCAGCAGCTGTGTTATAATTAGCCCGCTGCTCTGCAGAGGCAGCCAGGGAGGTAACTGAATCCGGCAGCTCTCTCATTACACTGTGACCTGTTGAGCTGGCATGTAGCAAGAAGCCAAGATGCTCCACCTCACAGCTTGCTGCTTCATCCACAGCCACCGACCCACTTCCCCTCTCTCCATCTGTCCAAGTGCAATTGCTAGCAAACACAAAGACGGGATATTCATTGTATTTTTTTTTTCCCCGATCCCCTTTGATTTTTCAGTAGGTGAAGGCTGTCTGCTAATGCCTGGATGTTTCTATCCAACTAGAATAAGTCCGTGTTCGGTGTTAATTCTCTGCCTGGTTTACAGGAGCTGGAGAAGTCTGCTGCCCCAAAGTCCTCAGCCCTCCTGAAGCCTCGTTCAGCCAGCATCTGTCATGAACGCAGGGCACGCCGTAGTAATGACCATCGCTTTCTTACCCAGCCAATCACCTGTGAGGAAATGGTGGCAGTTTGGTAGGTATGATGCATTAGTTTGGACAAAGCATACTTCTTAGTATAAACTATGTTTACGGCTGGCCATGCGATTGCATTGGGATCTAAACCAGAATTATGGAATTATTTACAATCACACGGTTTACATTTAAAATAAGACATTCAAAAGATTTCATGCATCCAAGTCACATGAAACATGACTGTAAAACTGAAATGATTATAGTTTCAGGGTTTTACACATCAGCACGACTTTCCAAATCAGTGCTGCCATCATTTAAAAGTAAGGAGAGGAAGCTTTTCTCCTGGCAACCCTTCCTAACAAGCTATACTTGCTCAGTCTTTTTATAATCGCCGTGTCATGAACTCTAACATTCAAAGGCGACTTAGTTTGACACTGTTATATGTTGAGAGACTTGGGCCTCCAGGAAGTAAAAAGACAAAGATCAGAAGGAAAATAAGATCAATTACATAGTCAAAAGCAAGGATAAGTATAGCTTTGCACCAAATGGATAACTTTTCAGCTTTATCAGCTCTGTTTTGTCAGATTTGTCAGTGGCATAACTCATGATGGAGCCACTGTCAGATCAACTAAAAATATAACACATTTCTCAGTCATTGTTTTAAAGTGGTCCAATTCTGAATCAACTTTGGTCTGAATTAAAGCAGTGGACAGAATTAAACCCTACATCGAGTGGAGACTATTTTAAGATGAACATTTGGTGCTCTACAGTTGTGAATATTACCAGCTGCACGAGTGTGTTGAATTCACTAAAAATAAACTATAATGTGAAATGGGTTCAAGGCTCTGAAGACTCAGGGCAGCCAGTGCGTGACCCCAGGCACAATTAAAATTATCGCAATTAGTCATACATAAAGATCGGCGGACAAATAATATGTCATCGTATGTTTTGTCTTGTGAGGATGACCGCACGTCCCATAAATATATATACACAGCTATATAATTGCAGTCTCTGTGGCTGTGCAAGTTGAAAACCTTGGAAAAGAATCATTTTTCTCAGATTATTACGTACATTGGCACTCGGCATCCCCTACCGGTAGCCCCCTACCGGACCCCGGCACCGGTAGCCCGGTATCCCGGTAGCTCCGTGCCGCCGCCCCCCCCCCTAAATCTTTAAGATATTTGGTTGAATCTGCTTTAGTTTAGATTCTCATTGGTTTGTTTTTAGTCATGTGACTTGTTTTTAGTCATGTGACAAAAACAAGGAAGTGGGCGCGCTACCGCGCTACCGCGGTAAAATACGAAAAACGGAAAACCGGGAATACCGGGAAAACCGGGGAATATCGGGGAAAATGGCCACCGGGGGAGGGGGGCCGGGGCTCCCCGGAGGGGAGACCCGGACCCCCGACCCCGGCTCGATATCACTGTCGGAGTAGCACCGCACCGAACCCCGGTATCGCGGGAGCCCTAGGACGCAGTAGCCCGGTAGCCCCGCCTCCGGCCCCCGGTAGCCCGGTTGCCCGGTAGCGCGGTAGCCCGGTAGCCCCCCTTCCGGCTCCTTACCTTGTTCGTCCGTTGCAGTGAGAGTCCGCCATCTTGCCATTTGAGCAAATTTAAATCACTCTGAGACTTTTCAGCTTTATCGGCTCTGTTTTGTCAGATTTGTCAGTGGCATAACTCATGATGGAGCCACTGTCAGATCAACTAAAAATATAACACATTTCTCAGTCATTGTTTTAAAGTGGTCCAATTCTGAATCAACTTTGGTCTGAATTAAAGCAGTGGACAGAATTAAACCCTACATCGAGTGGAGACTATTTTAAGATGAACATTTGGTGCTCTACAGTTGTGAATATTACCAGCTGCACGAGTGTGTTGAATTCACTAAAAATAAACTATAATGTGAAATGGGTTCAAGGCTCTGAAGACTCAGGGCAGCCAGTGCGTGACCCCAGGCACTGACTCAATGCTGCTTTCTTAGTACGTCTTAAACAGGCATCATACATACACCAATGATGCATGAAAAAAATGTATTAAAAAAATACTGCGATTTTGGCATTGTTTCCCTGCAGTGTTCCCACACCAGTGGAGGCCCATCCTGTGCAGCCGGAATCAGCTGAGGATGGTGATGAAAGCTGCCGGATGAGCATGAGTCAGAAGCTGGCCCTCTTCAACAAGTTCTCGCTGCCTGTGAAGCAGGGCGCTGATCCAGTTGATGGACCCCCAGAGAGACGAAGGCAGAAGGGGGCTCGATACCGCACGCAGCCCATCACCGTGGAGGAGGTCAGTCCGTTGAGCTGGAAAATATTGAGCAATGTAAACTAAGTAAAATTTACTCCATTAGCTTTGCTTTTAAAATGTCCCCCTCTTGTTTCTCTTCAGCTTCAGAAAGGTCCCATTCAGCTCCCCGCCTTCAGTTTGTCTCGTCATCTGTCCGATAGACAGCAGGACTTTTCTTCCAACCTGAAACCCAGTGAGATGCGTCTTTCGCAGCCAAGACCCGATCCTGGACCACGACTTGCGGAGCCCGCTTCAGCCCAGCAAAGCCCACCCTGTCCCAGCTCTGAGTCGGCTTTAAAAGGCATCCTGAAGAAGAGCCGCTCTGCAGGCTCAGAGTGGAGCCCGACAGAGGCCGGTCAGGCCGATGCCCCGCTCAGTCAGGAACAGAATGGCGGCAGCAGTGGAGAGGCAGAGGTGCACGGGGAGAAGGACGGGCCGGAAGGCTCTGCGGCACCACGCAGACAGAGATGGGAAGCTTCAGGTGTGGAGGGAGGCTCGGTGACTGCTGCTCCCTGGAGGCAGAGGTCTCGAAACAGGAGCGAGAATATTGGCTTTGTACCGATAAGAGCCCTGTCAGAGCAGGAAGCTCCTCAGGAGGAGAGGCCCTGTCAAACCTCACCACAGGATCAGACCATTTCCTCAGTGGGAAACAGTTTAGTCATGGCTAAGAGAGTCCAGTGAGTCTAGTAAAATAAGTTAGATGTGCTGATACCGCCTGCATCTAATCATGATAATGTGGAAATTTGAAATGTTATGCAAAGAACTTTGTAAATGTAAAGAAATTGAACAAATATTACTGATCACTTTATTTTTTACTAAATTTATTAAGCTTTAATTGATTTATGGTTCATATTGTGACTATTTCTTTTCCAAAAGAAAAGAAGAGGAAGAGAGAGGAATGTCGGTGGATGAAGAAAATGTTCAGGTCATCCCAGCAGAGTGCACATCTGAAGTACAGAATGTAACAAACAGAAGTCAAAGTAAGGTAAGAAGTCCAGAATCTTTTTGCTGACACCTTTTACCACCTCCATCAGTTCATTAAATGCAAAAAGAGACTTTGTTCCCCTGACCAGACAACTGGTAAATGGAAAATATAAACAGTTTACTCTCTTAAGAATATTACTAGATGCAGGGAGGCAAAGCAGCATTTGTCATTTGAAAGATTTTTACCATTTGTAAATGTCTGGAATTGAACTCAATCGGAAAAAAACTCTACTGATGTAAGAGGATAATGCATTTTTTAAAGATCTCACCAGATTTATTTGACATTGGTCTCTTTCCCATCTCCGATTTCCTTCAACTTGATCAGTAGCTCTGTAGAAATATAAGTTTCACTGGGCTCGGCGTTCATGACCAAATTTAGGTTAGACCCTGCCACATTTAGCAACATTACTTTTTTTTTTTTTTTTAACCACAAACCAGTGATTTTCTGGAAAGGAAATGATCGTATAAACATTTTCAGAACTTTACCCCGATAAAAATGCTCCTTGGTATATTAGGGGTTAGTGGGTTCATCCTTCAGAGCAGATTTAAACTGATGTGGGGAAAGGCAGGCGGATAGATTTGACTGTTTGTCGTGCCAATGAAAGCTGATATGACATCTCATAACAGAAGCCCATCAGCTGTGGTATGTGCTAAATGTCTTGATATCAGATTCATGTTGCTGGGAAATCCACTCAGAGTGGTTAGCGTTTATGTGATGAGAGAGGTTTGAATTTTCCACAATGCGAGGTGGAATGTAAACAGACTTATCGTGTGGTGGTTTAATGGTGACCCTTTAGGACCTTACGTCTCTGTTGCACCAGGTATACACATCATTATTTATTTGGGTTCTTTATGCCTCACGTTATGTCTTCTTTGTGTGTTCTCGTATCCTTTTCTGTAGGAACAGTCCCTAAATCCTGACCTCCAGAGAGTTAGCCCTCAGTGTTGGGTAAGCACTAATGACTCAAAGGCCCCTGATCCTCCTCCATCCCCTCATTTATGAAAAATGGAGTCTACTTTCAAGCAGCTTTAGCCTCCAACTGTCTCTTCTCCCCCAGGAGCCCGTCTATGCCTCTGTCTATTCTATCAATACGCCCCAATATATCATGTGTTTCAATCAGGTAACTGTGTGAGCCGCTGCATGGCAGGTTAATTGCTGCTTCCTTTTTCATTTGGAATGTTTTGAATGCAGTGAGAAGTCCTTTAGTCATCCTACACACAGGTGGATGTGTTTTTTTTGCAGCTGCTGTGTGAAGTTTCTCTCAACCTCTGCCCCCTAAGGAGTTATTTTGTGCTTTTGTCATGTGTTACAGGTGCTTAATTTCAAGTTCTGTTGAATTTGTGCAATCCAGACTTCTTTTTGGTCACACCCAGTTTTGAAAAAAAAGATGGATAAATAGTTGGCTTTTTTTGTTGTCGGTTTTTGAATTCTGTTCATCTTGTACCTGACATGTTTGTTTGCCTTGTTCTGTGTTGACCCTTCCATTGATCGTTCACATCTCCAAAGGGCCCTGCTGTCCTACAATACAGAATCCCTTTGTCTTCATCCATGTATTTTCACTTCATCCTCAGACTAACATGTCATTTGAAGCTCAAGAGGTCTTCTCCCCAAAAAAGAACCTGTCCCAGCCACAGTGGAGACAGAAGGTGATGCAAGCCTTCTTTTTCATGGTTTACAGTAGAACATCTGTGTCCTTATGGGTCATGTTCTTGCACTGTTCAGGCTAAAGGAGCAGAACAAGAACTTCAGCTTGACAAAACGGAAGAAAGCAAAACACAGCAGGAGAGCAAAGAGCCGGAAGATCAACTCAGAGCTGAGAGAGGTGAGTTTTGTCCCTCGGATTTCCACTCTGTCTGCCAGGTTTGTGCTTATTTTTTTCTCTTTATCTCCCCTTTCTAGGTTTCGGACATCTCGATTCCGACAGCAGTGATGTTTCTTGTCAGAAGAATCACTTTTCCGAGGCGCCAACATGCTCGTATGATGGTGAGAGCGGCTGTAGCCCGTACAGTGGGATCCCAGTGCCTGCTTTTGTCTCACTGATTGTTTAGCTTTGCACAAATAGTATTTGAAATTGAGTACTAAAAAAACAGAAGCTAAATGGAAAGGACAATCAGTATGATTGTTTTTTTTGTTCGTTTCTACTGCAGCTGCTCAGAAGGCCCCACTCACACAGGCTGCCCAGGAGGCCCGGGAGGAGACGGCTGTTGAGGAATCCAACAAACCTCCATCCAGCCTGTTGGAGGGAGGCTTTTGTGCCGATCGGTCTCCTCCCGCTTGTGCCCCCCCACCCTGTGACGGAGCCTCTGTCTCAGAGAGCGAGCAGGACCTGGGTGTCCTCTGCCAGAGCAACACGCCCATGTGAGTAACGGTGACAAAGTTAAGAAGCAGGTGAAAGAAAAACCCACAGCCGCTAAATATTTTTGTATATCTTCAGGCTCCCATCAAATCTTTTCCTAGTTTAGAGTCTTAGCTCTGAGGAGACATTTACTGCACTAGTTTTTTTATCAAAGAGGAAGAATTACTTGAAATTAGTCTTTGAATGCGAGAACTTTGGAAAAAAAACAAAAATAGTCTGTCTCTGTGTGTCTGTGTGCAGACTGAGCTCAGCAGTGGCTGAGCACCGGCGATCGGTGCGTCCATCACGCCGGACTCAGGGCTCCAGAAACCCTCTGAGGGCTCTCGCAGCCAGAGAAGACATCAGACAGGACTACATGGGGGAAAGAGTGGACACGGCTGCTGAAGAGAGGGGTCAAGCTGAGAAAAGTGAGCGGATTTCACTTCGTCCTCCGCTTTCTGTCTTCCTCAGCCATAACATCATGTATGTTCCTGACCCTTTACAGAGTGCAACAACCCCTCGGTGGCAGATTCACCTTCTGTCACGTCAGAGGAGGTCATCTGTCCCTCAGACGCAGAGACAACCAGCTCTTACCCTCCCTTCCGCAGTCTGATGCTCCTTCACATCAAAGGTCGGGAAGGATTTTATTCTTTAAGCATGTTGCATGCTCATTTTTTAATTTTTTTAATTTTTTTAATTAATTTGAATTGGTTTCTATTTGACAGGTAGGCAGCGTGTCCAGGTCCGGCTTGTGGAGCCCTCAGTGCTGTCTCTGAACAGCGGAGACTGCTTCCTGCTGGTCACTCCAGAGCATTGCATGGTGTGGAATGGAGAGTTTTCCAATGAGCAAGAGAGAGCCAAGGTACCGACGTGACAACAATGATCTTCTCTCTATGTTCACGATAAACTTTATGATAGATGCATGTCAACATCTTTATATTTTCTATAGTCAAGAAGCTGACTTTCCTGAAGTCTTTTAAATTCTTTTAGTATTACTATCCTGTTAATACTGTACTAACGCTGTTTGCAGTGTTGAGTTTGAGTTTTGCAGATATTTCTATGCTAAATTATTTAATCTAACCATAAAAATGGCACAATACTATTTTCTTTAGGCCTCTGAGCTGGCATCGTTCATCCAGAGTAAGGGAGATCTAGGCTGTCTGGCCTCCCAAGTCGTCCATCTGGAGGAGGGTGTGAACTCTGACAGCAATGTGGCTGCAGACTTCTGGAGTCTTCTAGGGGGAAGAACACAGTACAGAGGTGAGAGGTCAAAATGTCTACACACCATTTTTCTAATAATGCATCAGTCATCCACATCCCAAGAAAAAGTTAATTGGTGATTATACTGAATAATTATCATATATTTTAATGTTGGATATTAATATCAACAGTTTATTCCTTTTAGGAGCTGGGGCACCGGATGAGGATGAGCTTTTTGAGCAGGGAGTAGTGGAGTCCAACTGTGTGTACAGGCTGGTGGACAACAGACTGGTGCCTCATGAAGAGGCCTGGGCCTCCGTCCCCTGCACGTCCCTGCTTGGCTCCGCAGAGGTCAGGGTCTCAGCCCCCTCTGACCATTTCTATTCATCCCACTACTTTTAATAACACACTGTGTTGTGTGTATCTCATGTTCTTGTTTGTAGGCCCTGGTGTTTGATTTTGGCAGCGAGGTGTATCTGTGGCATGGTCAGGATGTTCCCCTCAGGAGGAGGAACGTAGCTCTGCAGCTTACTCACCAAGTGTGGGTCGGAGCATACGACTACAGCAACTGTCGAGTCAACCCACTGGATCCCACTCAGCGTAACCCCAGCATTCAGCTGTGCGTCCACACTGCAGGCGATGAAATAAGTAAAAGTAGTGGTGCAGCCTTCACATTGAAAAACTAACGGGAACCAATAAATTCTACATGATTCATGACCCAGGGTGTTCGCACACAGTTGTGTAAAGCCTAGATAAAACATTAATCTACTCTCACTGATGTGACAGGGAAGATAAAATGCTTTTTCAAACTTTGCAAGAGGTGCCCCAGCAGATAATACTGTTTTCTCATGCTGGGAGGTCACTGTATGCTGTTTGGCGCTTGCAAAAGACAGATGTTAAAAAAACAAGTAGTCAAAAACAGTCAATTAAAAAAAAAAGTGAATATTTAATTCCTGTTGAAATTTGATTCACATATGCATCCCAACTTTTAAAGAGACAGTCGCAGAGTCTTTAGCATGTTTCAGTTTGCAAAGCGATTGTGCTCATTGGAGTGATGTGCCGCTGTCTTCAGGAGGGGAGAGGGCCGTCCCAGCTGGGCGCTGCTCACCAGCGTCTCTGAGCACAGTGAAACGTGTCTGTTCAGGGAAAAGTTTCAGGACTGGACGCGCAGAGGAGGCAGCACAGAGGAAGAAGCTCCAGTGAAGGACGAAACCCGGGTTAGTCTCACTGTTCATGGGCTCAGAACAACTCAATCGATTAGTGCTTAATGGCAGACAAACGTCAGAAGTTACAACCGCTGTGAAGACTAAATCAGTTAAAGATGGCAGAAACCTTTTAAACGTGTCTTAAAACTTGATTGTCTTGAAATATTAGAATTCTGCGGAACACTTCAAATCAATATCAGGTCAGTTTTATCCATGTCTGCTCTCCCTCCTCACAGTCCGCCACACCTCAGTCACCCCAGGCTGAGTCTACGTCTTCAGAACCCCTGAGTCCCTGTGATGTCAAAGCTCTGGTGCTGGGGGACATGATGGAAGGGGACGGTGGGGTCAGGACCGTTCTGACGGAGCTCGATGTCCAGAGAGGCTGTGGTGTCATCCCTCTGGAGGGGGGACTTAAGACGGAGCTGAACACCGTTGCTGTGGACACATGGCACGTTCAGGAGTTTTCCAGCAGTGAAGTCCCAGTGGACAGCACTGGACAGCTTCATGAAGGAGACTCGTATGCCATCCGCTGGACATACACCATCAGCGGTCAGTGAATGCCATCGCTGTCTTTTACATGTGATGGTGCCAATTCTGACTGAATTAATTGGGCTGTCTTGTTATAGATAAGAAAATCGGCTCAGATGAGCTTGGGGGATCTCCTGGATCAAGCGAAAACACGGCCTTCTTCTTGTGGCGAGGCTGTAAGTCCAGAGTCACTGGACAGGACGCAGCAGCTTCCCTGACCATCGGGATGAGCAACCAAGAAGAGTCACCAGTAAGCTTACTTCCTACTTAAAATGACAGTGAAGGTTAAAGCACTGTCGAAACATCCTGGAAACAAAAAAATACTTTAAACGCTCACAATCAGGGTGACCTTAGAAACACCAGTCAATTAACATGCCTGTTTTGGATTGAGCAAAGTAACTAGAGAGATGACTTTGACTTAAGAATCTCTGAATTTTATAAAGAAAGGGTCCTCTGTCTCTCATCCAAATAATGTAAATTGAATATATTTTTGGTGAAAAAAGCTTTGAGGGTCAAAGAAACCTCTCACAGCCCCATAAAATGTACAAACAAAGAAAAAAGTGAGTAGAGTGCATTAATAAAGGCACACACAGATCAGATCTGCAATAGTCTATTAAATTTGGAAAAAACATGGGCATAAACATATAGAATTAAATATGACAAATGTATGTAATTGCTGTAATCTGTCTGAAAGGTAAACCAATATGTCGACACATCTGCAGGGCTCCATCAAAGCCGTTGTGTGGTCACAGACTTTGTGCGTTTTCTTATAGGTGCTTGTACCTCAGGGGAAGGAGCCCCACTGTTTCCTGCAACTTTTCCAGGGAGGCCTGGTCATTCACAAAGGAAAGCGAGAGGAAGCGCCCACCAATGCAGGTGCAGCAAACGTAACTACAAGTGAGGACTTTGGAAACCTCAAAAATAGGCTGACGGTTGTGTTTTCCTTAACAGCCGAGTGGCGTCTGTTCTGTGTGCGAGGGGAGCTCCCGGAGGAGGGCTTCCTCTTAGAGGTGGACTGCTGCAGTGCAGGTCTGAGGTCACGGGGCGCTGTCGTCCTGCTGAGCAGCCAGCAGGGGGAGCTGTATCTCTGGACGGGTTGTAAAGCTTCCAGCAGCACCAGAGAAGTCGGCAAAAGGACGGTAGAGCGTCTCACTCAGATGTAAGAGGCGTACATTCTGAATGTTCTGTTAGAGTGCAGCTTCGGGTTTTAGCTCTCTAGCTCGTGTGTTTTATTTGTGTGTCAGATGTCCACCAGAGCTGGGTCTCAGGAAAAACAGCCCTCTGAAGGTGCATTTCGTGGAGGAAGGCACCGAGCCTGCAGAGTTCTGGTCAGCGCTGGGACAGATGGACAGGAAGGCCTACGACTGCATGCTCCAAGGTGCAAAATGACTATTAGTTTTTCTTGATTATCGAAGATCAAATCATAGTCAAAAGGGTTGACATTTGTCTGTTGGCAGACCCAGGAAAGTACAACTTCACACCTCGCCTCTTCCATCTGAGTGCCTCCTCTGGGAGGTTTCAGGCCAAGGAGTTCCAGAGTCCAGTGCAGCTGCCCGGTGTCGTGGTGGCAATGCCCTTTGTCCAGGAGAGCCTGTACTCAGCACCACAACCAGGTGAAAGCACACTGGAACCAGGACATGTCTTTGTTTTCTCCAATCTATTCTCATTTACAACCCCCCCCCCCCCCCCTACCCGAAAGCTGTAAATGATGCTAGGAGCTGTTTGTAGGATTATACAGACACTTTATGATTCTACCTGCCCCAAATGTTGTATTTTAACTGAATAATCACTTGTACATAAATGTCAAATGCTAAGAATCTACCACACATAGTAAAAGAGGGAGATGGAACTTGAGTCATTTATCTTGGAGGTGACAGTTTAAATGACTGCCTTGCTTTGGAAAATTTCCAGAATTTCATTTTGATGTTCTTCAAAGCAGAGTTAGCTCTGTTGTCATGGGGATAATACAGTCTGTGCTGATATTCCCAATCTACCTTGTTTTTCCCTTCCTTCTGTTAAATTCAAACACCCTATTAAAACGGTAATCTCACTAAATTGTTGCAATTTCCGCCATTTAATCATCAGCCCTGTTTCTGCTTGACAACCGACTGGAGGTCTACCTGTGGCAGAGAGGTCAGCCTGAGCAGACGGAGAGCTCGGCTTCAGCCTGGAGCCTCTGGTTTAATGAGCGGAAATGTGCCATGCAGACAGCCCTGCAGTACTGCAAAGGTCAGGGGGAAATGTTGATGGGGTTTGTGCCTGAAAACAACCCAAAAAAACAAGGTTATTAGAGCAATTTGTTGAGCTGAAACGTTTTCCTGTGTTCCAGAGATAAACCCCAGAAGGCCTCCTCTGGCCTACCTCATTTTCGAGGGGTCGGAACCTCTCACCTTCACTAATGTCTTCCCCCGCTGGGAGCGGAGCCTCGGACCTCACACACAGGTACGAACACGGGCTGACACCAGCCTCTCCATACAGGGAGAAGGTTTGTTGTCGTGCTGCCATTGAATTTTCCAAGGATTGCGCCTATCGTGAATGTTTTGAACGAGATGAAAACAAAGCAGACCTGTGAAAACACCATGACAACAGCTTTAATTAAGGCGACTGCAGAGATTAAACTGAACGCATTGACAGCTCAACTAAACACAAGTGATCAGCGTTTTAAATGGTGCAAACAAGAGGCTTACTTTACCTCAGGCGGTGTAGACATGAATATCCAGTTATTTGCCTGTGCAGTTTATGCCAACAAACATACGCACCTCTCATTCCGTGTAATGTCAGGGTGACCAAAGGCGAGTGAAGCTGACCTTGGTGCAGGACGCCCTGGCCCAGCTCATGAACACCCATTGCCCCCCTGAGGAGCTGCTGCGAAATCCTTTACCCGCAGGGGTGGACCCCCTACAGCCGGAGGTCTACCCGTGTGAGCAGGATTTGCAGGTAAACAGCAGTGTAGACACATCTGTCAACCAGCAGGCTGCAGCATTTCCCGAACTCATAAAATTCAAACTGCCAGCAGCTTTCTGGAAGTTAATTTAGAACCTCAGAGGGTGCATTTTCTATTTTCAAACTTTATTTCTTGACTTTGTTTTCTTCTTCATAATTAAATCTCAACTATTCTTTTTCAGACCATTTTGGAATTGAAGAAAGATTAACGTGCCTCCCTCCCAGCCTGGAAGCAAACTGATCTGAAGAAAAAGCAAAAGGACTGTTTTGTTAGAACTTGAGTAAAGGTTGACTTATTCTCCAGGATCTGGGATTCATCTTCCACTGGAAAACAAAAATACTGCAGGTGTATTTGCACCATTGTTTGCGGCACCAAGGACTGCTGACAACATAATAAAAAGAGAAAAAGGAATATTTTATTTATGTCAAATTAGTATGAGTGTTTGAACTTTTCATTGAACAGGGATTCCTTTGTGGAAACCGTACAAAAAAAAACATTTTCCTATGAGACGTAATTGTGTCTGTACAAGTCAGTGAAAGAGAACAATAAATGGGAGTAAAAGGGTAACATCAAACCAAATGAGAAAACACTTACAGAGCTTGCTTACAGAGAAGTTCAATATCAATAAACAATGTAAACAAACGATACACAGAAATCTAATCTTTGAAATGATTCTTAAATGATTGAATTTTTTTTTTCATGGGGGCATCTGCAAATAATTTGTGACATTTGCTTAGCTTTGACTGGCTAAACCTACGACTGGTCCTCCCCACATACATCCGATTGTCACTAAAACATCTTATGTGTATTTTACATTCAGTTGTAATCCACCCGTTCATTTGAGTGTGCAGTTTGTGAACAAAGCTTTGTGCTTTTGCCAGTATGTTTAAGGGCTCTGCCATATTAGGGCTCCTTGGGGATTCACCATTAGCTGTGCATGGGTGAACAGGTAGACATGCTCCAAAAACATCCCTCTGGCTCCAAAACAACACGCTAATTCTGTTTCACCTCAATCAACACTCTGCTCAAAACATAATCGTAACACAGCGATACAACTCTCAGAATAATTTGTCAAAACTAAATGGGAGATAACTTTTTTCAAATGTTAAATTCAGCTTCATGTATAGTAGAAAAAAAGAACTGTAATTACAATGGAACATTTTCTTAACTTTGTTTTCAAACCAGATTTTTGCAAATGAAGCTTATGCTAAATATGAAATATGAAGTTGATACTTATGGGTGTTAAATTTGGTCTTCAAAAGTTAATGTTTAACATATAAATACTGAAATTCCAACCACATTGGTAAAACATCAAATTAACGAGGGGACAGAATAGAAGTTAAACGAATAAAAATGAACAGGGATAATATCCTCTGGGAATGCCTGCATAAAATTAGGTGTCAACTCATGACTTGGTAAATCCTAAACCAACAATGTCATTTTTTAAGCACGCTTTCAAAAACGTAGGGTGAGACACCTTTCTTCCCAATAGTGGCTCAACTAGAAAAATTATTACATTTCCTCTTTTTGAGTGTTTCTAGAACCTCCCCCCCATAATCTGGATGTTAAAGTGACCACAGAGATTGTAAACGAGTCGGGCTAGTCTCACATTAGTCCACTGGGCTGGAGCACCTTCTGGTTCACTGGCTAATGGATATTATTTTCCTCAGAATGGATTAGCTGACTAAAGCCTTCATGTGACTGTGCAGTGCTGGTTCAACTGGATTTAGACCCACTGTTGGTTGGAAAAATTTCCGAACACCTTTTTCTTTGTAAATATCACCAGACCTACATAAAAAAAAAACACTACAAAGTGAACGCAAGACATCTATTTTACAAATAATTCTATGCTGCTGTTTCGCACTCGTTAGTGCAAATATTAATTAATTTCCTTTTAATGTAAAATGTGCCCACATTTTATCACTACAGTCTGTCCACTGATCATATTTGTTCTAATTGTTGTGGTCTGCATTATGGTTTGATGAGATTGCATTTTAAAATCTGGCCCGCCTGCTTCAGATGGCGTGTTCTCTCTGAGCGTCAAATCCAGGTATGCCTCGTTCTGGTTCTGAGGCCAGAGCTGCTTCCCGTAAAACCACCATGTGATCTTCTGCTGCGTGGAGCGACTGGTCGATCCAGTCCATGCTGCCGGACATGTGACAGGCATTGCGGGTAACCAGCACAAGGTGGCTGACTGAAAGGAGCAAAGCGGTGGCCCTGAAGAGGAGCAAGACAATTTAGCTCAAATCATTAACATAGAAAGCATTTTTAAAGTTTTAAAGTGATTTTTTTTAAAGGACTGCAAAAATCTGCCTTTGGTTTAAACCCTATAAATCGTCCTGAAAGCCGAATGTGTTATGCGACACCTGAATATTTTCTTTTCCACTCCATGGTCAGAATAACTCAAATCACATGGTTACTGCTTCCAGGCTCCTCTGAGCACCTAATCCATCCACGGAATTGAAAGACTTTGCATTGAGCTGTCAAAGTCGGCTGCGATTACCTGGCGTCCAGGAGGATTGGATCCAGAGGAGGATACATCGATCTCACCACGTCGTCCACCCTGTGAGATGGAAGCCGATCAGCCAGTGTTGGAGATGTGATGATTTGAGGCTGTGATGGGGTTTAGAAACATGTGTAATTTTTTTTTTTACCTCGGGCTGATGCGCTTGGCCACCGTGATGATATCACTCAAGCTAGCCGGCGCTTTGACTTTTGCTCCGGAGCCCATCGTCATGGCAACCAGCTTTTCAGTCAAGGTGTGGCAGATCTTCAAGTCCCAGCAATCAGTCCAACGTGTCAAAATTTACAGGTAGTGATAAAGCAGCAAAAGTTAAACTCCATGTTAACATCTAATCATAATTACCAGAAAACAAACTACAAAGAGTTTGCTTTAGCTTTGTGAGAGTAACTGAGGGTGACTGATGAGTTACCTTTAGGATGGAGATGCAGTGAGACACCAAACCACTGTTGAAGACAGAGTCATAAGTAGAAGCACTGATGGATGGAACATCTAAAAACATTAGCAAAATGACAAATATGAGCGAATAATGGCAAAAAATATTACGAGGCATCTTCTATCCAGTCCTCATTCTCCAGGATGGCTTCGATATGGGGGTTGGTGATGACCACGTCGTCCAGCTCCAGCTCTGAAGGCTCACTCTGGGTCTCCATGGCTCCGATCAGATCCACTGTGGGCCTTTACAAGAACAGATGAAGCAGAAAGAGGGTGACTGACTGAAGAAAATAACTATCTTAGATATCTGGAGAATGACTTAAATATATTTTGCTGGTAGATTAAACAATTAAAAACGAGCAGCACAGCATTACTTCAAAATATCTTCATCGCATTTCCATCAAACCAAAAAAACTTTATGCAAAGGAAGGAAGTCCGCTAACATATGTTCAACAAGCATTAACTGAACCCCCTCTAAATCTCCTCTGACGTGCCCCCCATTCAGTGGATCCTTGAACTAAAACTCATTTTCACAGTAAGACAAAATTCATTACCAGCTTTCCTCCAACCCGATTACCTTAATTGGAAGGCTTGGTTAGATTAAAGCATGAGGCATGGTTTGCCAATCACAGCCAGTCATGCATTACTCCAGTAATCGGTTGCTTATTGACTGTTTTTTCCTGAAATAATGCCACTGAAAAAAAGAGGCTTTTGGTTCTCTAAGAAACCTAACACGAGATGAGGTAAAAGATACTAGTTCTAAGCATCTGCTCCAAGAGACAGAAGCAGACTTGAAAGGTGTAGGAATAGCACCACAAGCCTCTGTGCAGAAAGAGTTGAGGAAAAATGCAGCACATTCCATCCACGTGGCTGCTTATATCATAATGATGTTTAATTACACACTGTGTGCCAAACAACCCCTGATGGGCTCTACAGAGCTACTAACAGCAAAGTGCATAAACAGTCTCTGACATTAGTTTCTGGCTTTGGGAAAACACAAATTCCCAGATGACTTATGTACTTGACATCCTTAACCACTTATCAAAAATGGAATCTTATACTTTCATAACAAATCTAATATTTCTGACAATGGAGTGGCTTCTCTTATGATTTGACGAGACAATTAAAAAAAAAGCTAAAAATACAGAATTTTGGTGTTCTCAAAGTCTGAAACACAATTACTAGATGAGTGAAGATAAATAAGTGCAAATAATATCAATGCCTATGTCTTTTTGGCTTTTTGTCCCTTTGGTGGGTTTTAGGGGTACGGGAGCCAATTCCTGTTTGGATCTGTGGGCAACTTGCTAGCCCATGACAATAAAGGCCCAAACACTAACTCTTGAAAAGCCTCATCAGTTACTTTAATATGCATGTGTTAAAAGAGGAACAAACTCCACAGAGGACCCAACCAGCAGGTTTGTTGCTGTAAGGGGACAGAGATAAGCTGTGCTTCTCAGTGCTGTTCGAGATGCCATAGGTATGACTTTTAGAAGCACAACTAAAATCAAACAGTTCAAAACAGATTTAGATTTGTATGTGGGTTCACTGACTTGGAGTCAAAGTGGTGCAGCAGGTCGTGAGGGTGGCAGTAACGGTGTCGGCACACCACCACCAGGGCAACGAAGGAGGCCAGAAAAATAGTGGCCAACACCCCGATGGCCACTATCACCACCGTCTCCATGGTGACCGACTCCAGCAGCGGCTGACGGCAGCAACTTGTGAAGAGGGAAAGAGTCCAATCAGGGTCGGCTGATTGTCCGATCTCGATTTACAGAGGGCTGCTCATCTGTTGAGGAGAGAATAATTGGTAGTTTCAGTCTGATTGGGGGTTGCCAGAGAAGAGCGACATCATCAGAACTGAGCATGTTTCCGTGGGAAGAGTCACTTTTGTTTAACCACCATGCACCTTTGAACCAACGAAGTGGACAGAGCACTCAGAAGCGCTTGCTTCCTTTCTAAAAACGGCACACGCGAAACGCTGGAGGAGCTTGTGCTCTTTCTTTTTTTTTCTGCATTTAGCACAATGAGAACACAAAGCAATGAATAGAGTCATTCTTTCCATTTCATTGACTGGTCATGAAGTCAACAGCTTGAAATCCTGGGTGGATAAATCAGGTTTACAGTCCCTTTGAACAGCATCCTCCACAAAGACCAAAACAAAATATGACCTCCTCTTAACATCTGCTTTCAGTGTCTGTTGTGGTACTTTTGGATTATCCACACTTTAATTTCAGTGACATTTCTCTTCTCTCTGGAAGTGTAGAGCACACCTGCCCTCTGCCCAGCAGATAATCACTCATTAACCTATTCTGCTTCCATCTTTCAGGATGGTAGTCGTCACTGAAGACAGCTCTCTACGCAGAATATAATTAATCTGAATTTAGGCATGACACTTCAAAAGCAGTGATACGGTTTAAGAAGCTGTTACAGGAATGTTTTACCACAGGGAGGCTAAATTTCCCGCATTACAACATGGTAAAACTGCATTTTTGCCCAGATGAATATGTGAGTTTCTGCCATGGAATGTTGTAATTCTTTAATCTGATTAGTTTCTGTTACACTTGCCGTATCATACTGGGCTTTCTCCTCCCTGAGAGCGTTTATGACTCTGTAAAGCTTGCTGCTAAGAAGAAATGTATAAGCAGAATATATATATATACAAACACACACGTGTAATTATATACACTGACATACATATAAGAATGTATTTGAATAAGAGCAAGACAAAACAGAGAATATTTGTTTGCACATACAAAAGTATCTTCTACATTTTACATATAACAGAACAGTCAGTTAAGTAACTTGTTTAAAAAAACTACTGACAAAGTCAGTTTAGTTGGTTTTTAGTTGTATTTTCAGAAATCAAACTTTTGTTTGATTTTCTACTCAAATCCCCACGAAGATGAAAGAAAGAATAAAGACTAAACCGAGCCAGGACTGTGGGCCTGCAGACTACGTGCAAGTGAACGGCAGCAGAATCTAAATCTGAATGGATCTAAATCTACCACGGTGACCTGCACCTAAAAGTTCTGTAAAGTCATCAGAAGGAGTTTATAGTCATTAATTTCAATTCAAACGTCTAATTTATTTTCTTAAACCGCAGAAAACACACACACAGAAACAGATAAACACAGTTACACACTCGCATTTACTAATTAAACTGGACACATTTTGTGCGCCCGGTAAAAAAAAAAAAACTCCAAAAAACTCGCAAAGCAACTTCTAAACAACATTTCTAACTTGGAAAAAGTGAAGAAACTTGCTTACCTAAACATTTTGTCCTTTAAATCGACTCCCCTAAGGAGACAGGGTGGATTTCTCTCCGCCACCAGGAGCGCGGAGACGGCACCGACATCTCCAGGACTCACGTGAACGCGCACAGAAGCAGCTCATGCACGGCTGACCTGAAGCTGCGGATGTCTGTCCTTTCTCCAAAACTTTTCCGGGCAGGCCCGGGGTTCGCGCATGTGCGCAGACACCGGTGCGCGCCTCGCTCCTCCAGACTGGTGGTGCGTGAAGCGCGTTCTCGCTCAGCCTGTTCCAGTCCTGAAATAGTATGATCCCACATCACTAGGTGGCATACTCTGACTGTGCATGTACGAGAAGGAGGGGGTCAAGTCAGAACAAAGTCTGGTCCAAAATCAGTTAAGGCGTCATTTAACATGGTTAAACGTTTTAAAATATGATTATAGATGGTTCAGTATTTTAATTCAGTATAGGTATTAAATGCTGTCACATTCCTTATTTGTTCATTTAGACTACATCTTCCTTTGCATATTACCCATATATACAAATAACCTTTGAGACTATTATTGCTGAAATGGAGGTTTGATAGCACTTAGTATTTAAAATCAATACGGGCCCCATTGCATCGCCTAGTTAATGTTTAGGTGGTTTATGGAATGTATATTGTTTAGCAGACTTTCCAAACATTACATTATAAGGTTAAAGGTGTTTCCCTGTTACCCTAGTTTATATGCCATCTTTTACATCTGCATTTCTGCAGTTTATGGGCAAGAAACTTGCGTGCTTGATTTAAATGATTAATGCATCATGCATCTGATCATTAATGACGTAATATTATAGATTAAGAGAGCATCTAGTTTGGCAGCAGCTTCTATAATCAGACAGTCTCTGCCAGCTGTGAGATGCCTAATTAGGACGATTGTATACATCTGTGTGGTTTGATTTCAATGGAATTTGAGATGCATTCAAAAAATAAAAAGTATATTTCTTCAATGTTTAAATGCAATTTTTGAGCATTTTTTACAGATATGTGCACATACAAGAGAGCTTACCTTCCACAGCCACATAGCTATTTAATCATCATACTTGTGAATTGTTTCACAAATAACACATTTCATGTCTTAAATGGACAAACCACACATGCTCTTTTTCTTTAAAGCAAACTTCATTAGCACTGAATGTTCTCCTCACAAACATTTCTGCTTGTCCCTTGCAGATGTGTCGTGTCAGCCCTTGTGGTTTCATGACAGGAGAGACGCAGGTGAATAGCACTGATTAACACTGGCTCCATTCCATTCAGCTGTGCAGGAAAACCAACATGAGCCACAACATGTCTCTGCATGAAGGGAACCAAATTTGATTTAAGCAAGGAACCTGTGTTTTCATTGTCAAAGTAATTTACTCCCACTGCTTCAACGAACGGTTGTCTTGGAGCTCGGGTTTGGAATCACCATAAAAACAATTAGGTTTGAACGTGCACTCATACAGCCAAGCAGTCATAAAATACATTAAATGTTTCAATTAGCCATTTAGCAGAAGATACAAGTTTAATGATGAATGATAACTTGTCAGAATGCGGAAACAGAAGCTGGTGAATCAGTTCCTTGAATGGTTTTTATTGATAATTACATCTGATTTTTGTGGAGTATAAAATATGTAACCTAAGACATTTAACTAAGAACTGTAGTTTTATGACTTTATCTTAATTTTGGTAAGGTGTCAGTCTGAGCTTGTGAGATCCGCTTCTCATCATAAGCATCCAGAAGAGTATTTGGACATTTTTATGTCGTGCTGCTTGTTCTCTGACATAGAAAAGTCAGAACATCTTACTGCCAAACCCCAGTTTGGTGTTATTTGTCGTTTTATCAGGGACCTGCACCCATGATTCCAACCCAATTAACTCCTGCAAAAAGTAACTAAACCCAGAGCCTGCAAAATCTGGTGTATGTGGAAGCAAGGCTGTCCATTACAGTGATGCGCCATTAGGTTTGTCTGTGTATCGGACAAGTAGAAGCCTATGTCTGAAGTTTCCTCTGGCTGGAAGATGTCTTACTGACTGACAGGCCACTCTCAGATGCAGCTTACTCAGATGTATTCTGAACCTCAGAATTCTTCTGAATACCTTCTCAAGTCAGCAGAGTCACGGTGAGGTGTATATGAAGATCAGTGGCTCATAGAAATGTAAAAATGTTCCACTTAGCCAAAAGGTTATTTTCCATCTTAAATCTGAATTAATTAATTACTTAGGCACGCTGAGATCTGCATCTTTCCTGTTTCTTTCATCATTTTCCTTTTGCTTCTGCAGTTGTTATTGTTCGGCATTCTGAGTTAGCTTCAACAAGACGGCATGTGTCAGAATCATTGGATTTTATCACAAGAGGATCTCCACGTTTCTTTGTCTTTGTACTTCATCTTCAGATTTTCTCAGATGGATTCAGGGGGTGAACCAACAGATTGGGCTGTGCATTTCTTCTCCTTCATATTACAGAAACTCGAGGTTCATCACCGGTGCTATACACGGTCTGATTGGGAGAATCTGAGTTGGTTTGCAGCCCTTTCATGACACCTGCAGCTCCGTGTGTGCTGCTGGCACAATATGGACTGGCATTCATTCTGCAGACGTTAAGAAGAGTGCCTTTCTTCCTCTTTAATAGATGACTGAGGGTGGCCTTTGAGAAGCTGTGGATCAAGCGCACCACCCCCGTGCTTCATTTATTTCTTGATGTCCCCTAATCATGAATGGCAGGAAACCTTTTTTCACCATCACAGCTTGATGATGGTCTCTGTGTGCGATGCTTGGTGTATGTATGTTATCCTCAGGGCCTCTGGCTGTTTAAACAGTCTGGTTGTTTAAACAGAAAATCAATCAACTCTGGTTAAATTTAGCTGTTTCCTCTCATATTTTTGTCTAATTATATCCAATCCCTTCATGAATGGTTATTTATTACAAGTTTGGTTCTTTCAATCATCTTTTTTGTTTGAGAAAAGTCCAATATCGCCCTATTTTTCACTCGTAAGTTGAAGCTTCAAAACGTCCTCTTGGATTCTTTCTGCAAAGAAGGACACGTTACAAAAAAACATACTGAATCATCAAAGGACAGTCTGCAGGAAGGCTGGTTGCTGAAGCCCGTGCACGGCCCCCACGCTCGTTACACACTGTTTTGTGGGGGTGGAAATGCTGCCCAGATTAAGAGAAAGAAGTCTTCTTTTTGGTTTGTTAGGACTCCAAAATTGGGGGCAAAACAAGGCACCACTGACATATTTGGGAGGGGGCTTTAGATAAGTTAACTAAAAAGTATGGAAATATAGAAAGTGTTGCATGTAGGACATTTGCTTTAGAGTTTGCGATGCGTTTTGATGTAAGTAATGCTTGTACATCAACCTCGGTAATCCAAACCTTAAGGTATGTGGTTCGCCCCATGCAGCCTTTCCAGT